TGGCTAATTGGAGGTGAAATAATTGAATGAATTATGAACACCAGCCTCAGTCCCATACTTGCAAGTTCTGTAAAATAAATGAATGAATTGAAATAATTGACGAAATTGAATGAATTGCAACGAATTGCATTATACCCTGGAGCCAATTGCATTTGACCTGTTACCTGGAAAAGCCATTTAACACATATATATATATATATATATATATTTCTTTTTTGGTCCCCGAACAAAATTAGAACAAATTGCACGGGTTCTAGGCACCCTTAACATATCATCCATCACACAGGAACCCACCCAAGTAGGCGCCTGATCAAAAGGTGTATAAACCCAAATCCACGTTGTAACTCCATTTGGCAAGACAGTCGGGGCTACCCCTATTCATGAGCTCTCGACAATTTAGAGATCACCCCAGCAAGAGGATGAGAGTTGAGAGCATCAGTCATTTGGGTAAGTTGCACCACACTGGCAGAGTCCAACTCAATAATGCTCTTTCATTATTTTCAAGATACCGACATTTTTAAGTCCTAAGATTAGACAGCGAACATGCTGTCACACGTGTCACCTTACCCACCAAGCTCTGTCTCCCTCCGCACATGTTGTCAAAAAAATATCACTACAAAGCTGAGCAATAGGCCATAGCTTCCATCAACTCTTGGCACCTGAGACCAAAGCTCTCTCTTCTCTATCTCATGGCCGCTTCTCCTGCAACCGGTTGCCTTGCATGTTTCATTGACCCAGAAGCAGCCAAATGCAGCATAACAATTTCCAGGAGGCAATCCATTCATTTCTCTCACCACCGTCTAACTAACAAGTCCTCCTCCTCCTCTTCCTGCAAACAGAGGTCTCATTTGTGTTCGCTTTCCATGAATGGCTGCCAAGGAGACACTCACCTCCCTTTAGGTACCATTGAAACGCGTTCATTTCCAGCAGTTCCATCGCCTTCCTTGGCTCTCGACAGGCTCAACTCCGCCATTTCTGAATTGAAAGCAAACCCACCTTCTTCTACCTCCGGAATTATACGTCTCCAGGTAAGCCATGTTAAATGCTCAATGCCGTCCAAACTCAATTCTTCTACTTGTTTCTGTTCCCTGCCATCTTAGGCCATCTCCAACCCAAAGTATCTCAAATTATTGCCCAACCCAATATTATAAAGGGGTCAAAATTTGAAAAAACTCAAACTTGGACCCAAATAACAGTCCAAGTATTGTCTGGACTTGAAAAAGATTTGTGGAGCCCATCTGCTGCATCACCAGCCCTGGTGCCAGCTTTCATAACTGTGGCCCGCCAACAGACCATGTGGAAGATGCTGCCTTTGTCATGTAGTGATGTTATTATTATTTTTTTAAAATATTCTAATATTAATTTTAATCAACGATATATATTAAATCTAAGCTATTTTAACGGTAAAAAAAAAACCCAAATTATAAGAAGAGAAGTTTGCTCTGATCGTTAAGATATATGGAATTCTGAAATTAATAAAAAGATAAGTAAACTTGTTAAAAGAGGACAATAAAGTTCTGGATTCCAGCTACAAATGCCAGGCGAGAGGCCTTAGCATTTCTCAATGTATAGGCAGAACAAGTCAACAGTGGTGGAGAGACTACTTGCTTATGTATAGTGCTAATATAACCAGCATTGTGTTTGAAGGTGCCAATCCAGCAGCAAATTGAAGCCATTGATTGGCTATATGCGCAACACCAATTCCTTCCCCGCTGCTATTTCTCCGGTAGGGGCCAAACCGGTAATTCTTCTGATCTTTCCATTGATTGCACCAATGGGAATGACCAGATTCAATTGAAACACAACTTGGTCAGCGTTGCTGGTGTGGGGTCTGCAGTTTTCTTTCAGGATCTGCATCCTTTCTCATACAGGCATTGGAAGTCCTTAAAGAGGTAAAAGAACAAACAATATTCGATATTGGAACAAGTTCAGTGTGATTCCATTTAACCTATGTATATCTTAATTTTGTAAAAACTACTGTTTTTTCTTTCGAAATCCAATTTACAAACTGAAGTCTAATTTTGTTATCTCTTGATTGAAGATTCCTCTCTACACAATGTCCGCTTATTCGCACTTACGGGGCAATCCGTTTTGATGCAAGAGCCAACATATCATCTGAATGGGAGGCATTTGGTTACTTTTATTTTGTGGTCCCTCAGGTAGAACAATTATTTGCTTTCGTGCACTAGTTCGAGCCATAAATCATGTTTGAATTCTCTCAAGTATTTATACAATCTGCTGCTGGATACCAAATGACAGGTTGAGTTTGATGAGCTTGAAGAAGGTTCAATGCTGGCAGCAACTGTTGCCTGGGACAATGCCCTCTCATGGAATTTGGGACGTGCAATTGATGCACTTAAAGCTACACTGAACCAGGTTCAAATTAGGATTGAGTTAAATCTGCTTGTTTGGTATTTGTTGAAGATATTCATGTTTTATGTTTACATCAATTCTTGATGATGCAGATATCTTCTGTTGTTTTAAAGCAACGAAGACAAGTTCCTTGGACACCAATGTTAAGCAATAATCACATCCCGAGTAAGACACACTGGAATCTTGCTGTTAATAGAGCTTTGCAGAAAATAAGAAGCAACTCAGCCCTTATTAAGGTACTATTTAATAATTTATTTTCCGTGTGCCAAACTTGGTTTTAGTATTGAGATGGACCTCCTTTTCATCTTCCTCTTTCTCCTTCTCATGTTAATGAATCATCTTACTCTGGGAATTCAGGTGGTACTCGCACGTAGCAGCACAGTAATAACAGCAACTGATATTGATCCCATAGCATGGTTAGCTTGCTTACAGGTGTTTTTTTTTCCTCAAGCTATTACTGGTGGATTTTCTCTGTATAACAAGTTATGACTACTACATCTGAGCTAAACTTCTTCAGGTTGAAGGTGAAAGTGCTTATCAGTTCTGTCTTCAGCCACCTAATGCACCAGCATTCATTGGAAACACGGTAATTGTGTTCAAAAGTATAACTTCCATTCATCACAAAATATATTATCTTCTATGATCACCTTGAAAATTGTTTGATTTTTTATTTCGATTACTTTTGTGAACAGCCAGAGCAACTATTTCATAGAAAATGGCTTGGCATTACTAGTGATGCTCTGGCTGGAACCAGAGCCAGAGGCGAATCGATGCCTGAAGATCTTCAAATAGAACTTGAATTACTTTCCAGGTTTAACTCAATCTTTTTTAAACTCTTTGTTATGCTGTTATTCTACTTCACTGTGCTGCTAGGAGTCACACAACTATCCAATAACATTTGTTTTGCAGTCCCAAGTACGACCTTGAGTTTACTATTGTACGAGAAAGCATAAGAAGAAAACTAGAGGTCAGTTTACTTTTTGGTGCTTTTATGTCTGAAAATTATTGATGATTTTGTTTTATGGGAAATAAATCGGTCCAAATGTTGAAATTTATTGCCTGAAATTAACATGAAACTGGTTTAGACTCAACAAGGACATATACCATTATTGTTTTGCAGAATGTATGTAACAGTGTCCTAGTTGAACCAAAGAAAGCAATCCGTAAGCTCCCTAGAGTCCAACATTTATATGCCAAATTGGCTGGCTGGTTAAGAAGTGAAGAGGATGAGGTAAATATTTGCATTTTTCTGCATAAAATCATAAAGTTTCCTTTCAAGCTCATATAATCTGGATTTTTGTATTCAGATTAAATCTGCTGGTTCTGCACCCCACTTGTTTATTCTCCTGAGCTGATCAGAGTTTTCTTCAGTGTCCAATATACATTGTTAAATTTCTCGACAATATGCTTGATTTCCCCCCATACTCGTTGAATTTGAAGTTTAACTAGCTATCTGCTTCCTTTTCAGTTTGACATATTGTCATCTCTTCATCCAACTCCAGCAGTTTGTGGATTTCCAACAGAGGAGGCACGGGTTTTAATTGCTGAAACAGGTGCATCATATATCAATAAAAAGAATTCTACTATTTCTTTGTCTTTGGCTTTATACACTCAGTTCATCTAGCTGGTTTGGTCGAGGGAGAACTTTTTCCTGAAGACTCAGATTCTTTATATTCATAACTTTGTGCAGAAGTATTTGACCGAGGGATGTATGCTGGGCCAGTTGGTTGGTTTGGAGGAGGAGAGAGTGAGTTTGCCGTTGGCATTAGATCAGCACTGGTGGAAAAGGTACGCCAAGTAAATTCTTTTGTCTGCTACACTTTTATAAAAATGAAGTTTTTGTCAAAAAAATTGATGTATCATGCATATTAGACTGAAAATATCATACACAATAGGCATGTCTTCATTAGCATGCAGAATTCGTAGCGCTGACCCTTTTGGATTCTAGGGTCTTGGCGCAATAATTTTTGCTGGAACAGGGGTTGTGGAAGGAAGTAATGCATCATTAGAATGGGATGAACTGGAACTCAAGATTTCTCAGGTGTGTGTTTAGACTCAAGTTGCATTGCGTAAAACTAATCATTCTGCATGAGAATAGGTGCTTCAATAAACTTTTATATGTTTTGATCAATGATGTAGTTCACCAAGTTTCTTAAACTTGAAGTCCCGTAGAGATTAAAAGCTGATGTTGCAAGGACTATCAAGCGAAAAGGTCAGTGGTTCTGAAGTTGTTAGCCAGAATTCTTCGATGACTATTATTCTTTCTTGATTGTTTCTTGGGATGATTTTCCCAATGACAACATGAAAGAGATTTTATATGTAAAAATAAATTTGAAAAACAAATACCAATGAGTTGGACATGCCTAGATTGTTCATCTGCTTTGACTGGGACAACAATATGCTTTTCCATTAAATCATATTTCTTTTGCTCAGAAATTGGCTTGGCGTGATGATGACTTGAAACCAGAAAGTAGGCTTTGTGTAAATAAAAACCACGAAAGCACGAATCGTAACAATAGCGTGAGTAAATCCTAAGAACATGTTGCTGCCACACGATTCGTAAGTTCAAACCATTTCTTCACCATGAATGAAAAGGTCGAATTGCAGAACATATCAAAGTACATATCTTTACCAGAAAGAACAAATTAAATCAACCGATGAAATCAGAAATTATATCAATTGCATTATTTCTCCCAATTCTAGCCTTTATTTTTCCCTTCTTCCCCAAACTGTCAGATCCCCCTATAATTGAAACTACAAAAGCAATAAGAAGACAGTGTGACTCTTCACTGTCTACTGCTACAACCTCTGTTTTTTCTGAACAGGGTTCAGTTTGAGCTTCATACATTTATATACAAATTTCATTTTTTGTTTATTCCCACATACACATTAACATGGCTTATTTTTAATGCATTTAAGAGGACCGGCAAAGCGCGTGAGCCTGGTCACAAATGACCCAGGTTTTGCCTGGATCATGTCTGCCTTTGGGAGATTCCTAATGGGGCTTCCAGATTGAACAAAGAATGCTCCGTTCATCATAAGATCATTCTCTGATCTCCAATTCCATGATCTCCACTCGCTCTCTTGTGCATTGTTCCTATGAGTCACCTACGTAACAACATGAACAGCATTCAAAATTAGTTCAAGGAACAAGTCCTGCGACTTGGTTTTTTGATATGTGATTAGATATAAAAGAAATTTGGTTTAGAGACCAGTTTGTGCTTGTGCTAACAATAGTGTATGTACCTCTTTAGTCGCTTGGTTCGACGGAGCAATGAACCGGTTGCCCTGGCTAATTATGGTAGGGTGTTGGCTGCCACCAATGGCATACATAAGCCAATGAGTGTAGTCGTTGTTGACGACATGGAAAAATCCCCACCGGCACCTTGGCATCCGCTGAACCAACCCCTTCCCGAAATGGTTGAAAGCCAGAGTTATCTGCATCACTTGATCCTGAGAGTTGCTATCACTTGAACCAAACAACATCACCTGCACCAAGAATTTAGAACCACAATATATATAATCAGTAGCACGCATGATTTCACAAATGGGGTTAGTTTTGTAAAATGCAGCAACAGATGGATATTTACATCATTATGATTGGTGAGGTGACAGTTGGATATGGTGATGGCCGTAGAGCCTTGGATGGCATCAATGAGCCCATCTGCGCAATTTGACAAAGAGAGATGGTCTATCCAAACGTTTGTGGCTCCATACATGGATATTCCATCTCCGTCGCTACGCGTGCGCTGTCCAAAGTGATTGATAGAGTCCCTAATCAGGCCGCCATTTCCAGGCTTGTTGTTATGGATGTGGAGGTTGCTGATGATCACATTCTTCACAAACTGCAATGAAATTTGGGCGCCGTCAAGGATGTGCACGTTCGCACCTCGTGCATCAATGGTCTTGTCACTGGCCACCAGAAGCTCTTCAGTCAGCTTTATCCTCATGTCCCGAGCAAATATGATCCAAAGTGGCCCATTTTGAATCACGGCGTGGCGGAGTGTCCCAGGTTTCGGGTTCACTAGGTCAGCGTCGGTGTTATCTGTGACCACATATATTGGTCCAAGTTTCCCTCCAGTTGTCTTGCGCCCAAAGCCAAGGGCACAATTGGCTAGCCTCTTGCGATTTTTTTCCCAGTTTGGATCGCATCGCCAACAACGATCGATAGGGTTTGTAGCCATGCATGGACCCTTGTACTTCTGGTTCAAGTTCCTTCTTGTGTTGTTTGCATAATCGAAGGTGCTGCTTGCATTAAATAAAAGCTTGTAAATGATGATCAACATTTTCAAAACCCAAAACAACAACAAAAATCAATGTTCAAGAAATCAAAATGTGTTTAAATTTCTGGTTTCTTGTGTGACTAGGAACTTACTCAAGGACTTGCTTGTTGAAATGCTCGGTGACTGCTATAGGATCATCATGGTAGGCTTCATGGGCGGCCTTCTTGGCTTCTGCGGCTCTCTGCTGCCAATGCTCATCAAAATCCGCAATGTTTGCCCTCACTGTTGTTGGGATTGTTATTGCAATTACAAAAACACATAAAATCACAACATTTAGCTTCTCAGCTTCCATTGCCATCCTCTCAATTTTTTTTTTCACCTTTCCTTGTTTTCCTGCTTTTTTGTTTTGTTGGGTTTATTTTTCTTATACCGATGTCTAATGTAGCAAACGTTGAGCCCTATATATGGGTGTGAAACTGGACCTACCAGACTGCTTGGGTTGAAGTAATGGCTTTAATTTGCAGGGCAGGGCAGGGCAGTTTCCATGGTTAATTGATTTGTTTTTTTTTTTTTTAAGGGAATTAATTAAAAGATTTAGAACTGCAATGGGGGAGTTTGGTTATATATGCACAACGAAGAAATCTAAATGAAGCAAATAGATGAGAACGGGACGTGGGGAGGGAAGAGAGGGGAGCCCCTTTCCCTTCCAACGGTCGAAATTCCTATTTGCCTTCTTTGCTCACTTTGGATTTTCTTTATTGGATTTTCCTTTTCCCTTCCCTTATGAATTTCTACAATCTCTCTTGACCATTCCTCTTGATTCTTACCATTAGTCAACATCCTAAAAAAAAGTGATCTCTAAAACGATAAAATCATTTGTAAATATTCCATATAAAAAGAACTACTTTAAAGAGTAATGTGACATTGCATCGTTGATCACATTACTTACTAATGCGGTCGATACTGTTATCAATGAACGTGGTACAAGTAATTTAATTGAAAATTAAAATGTGTGTGTATATATATATATATATATATATATATATGTTCATACCATGCAATTAAGCATATATGAATATAATATAGGCCGTAATCTAATAAAATTATAGAGACCGCCGCCGCAAAGACAGAGAGAGGTTAGTTTGGACACAAGGAAAGCAAGGAATAGTGTCCTTTTTCCACCTGTTGGAAACCAAATGAGCCACCACCCAAAACTTGACATGCAGTCCAATCCAACCACAACAACATTTTGCATATGCAGGCGAATTAAGTTTGGAATAAGATGATCCAGAATGCATATATCGTTTTCCCACAAGGAAACCTGTTTGTTATTTGACTACATAACCCTGCACCAAGCCATTGCTACTCCTATATATATGATCAATCAGAGCTTTTGCATCTATATATCATTCACCACACAGCATTCTATCATTTTATTGTAATTAATTCGCACACAAAGCAAGCGCTTAAATTTGCTATTATAATTAAGGTCCAGTTTGTATTCTTAGTTGATAATTAACTGATGGCACAAGTCAGAGGATCATCAACAAGAGGGATGGGAGAGAGATCGTCATCATCGACACGCTTGCACGAAAAGATTTTGCCTTCCTCAGGTTGGACAGAGGACTCCAATGGCCATTATCTTCTTGTTGATCTTCCAGGTAACTTCATGAGATGAGCATCTAATATTAATTTTCTTTCTCTATTCCCTATAATGTTCCAATTCCTTAAGAAAAACATAATGCATGTGCATGCTCTTTTTTACGCACATAGAAATTTCAAATGAACTTAGTCACGCAGTGTTATAGTCACACAAATAGATAGAAATATTAATTCTTCGTTATTGTGTTTAATTATTTATAAAATTGTGTCTTAGATTTTAAAAAGGAGGAGGTGAAGCTTGTGGTGAATATCTCAGCTGGCCATATAACAGTCAGCGGACATAGGCAAGTCAATGAGAAGAAATCTGAGTATTTTGAGCAGAACTTTACCATCCCACCAAACTCAGATGTCGATAAGATCACCGGAAAATTTGATGGTGAGATTCTCTATGTCACTGTGCCAAAGGTAGCAGCAGTTGTAGAAGAAAAGAAAGAAGCGGAACCTGAAATAGAAAACCAAAATGTCGAAGAAACCGCTGCCACAGAACCAGCTAAGTCAGAGAACAAAAATGTGGAAGGCGCTGCAGCAGAAAACATACACTTAACAAGACCGAAAAATGATGGACAGCACTCGAACAAAGATGATGGAGCCTCAAAAAAATTATCAGGAAATAATAATGACCGCATATTCTTTTCTCTGGAGAATATAAGGAAATGGGATGAGCATGAAGATGGGATTTTGAAGACTGCAATGGAGATGTTGAGAAAAAATAAAGGGATTGTTATAACAGCCGCGGTGGCATTTTCACTAGGGATGCTGGTTTCTCGTCAGACGTTCCAATCAGCAGGGAATGAGAATTAAGATTATCTAGAGAGCTAGCTCTCTTTAATTAATTAATCTGTGTACATTAATTAACTGTTAAGTTTCACTTGGTTTACTTTAATTCTCTGTCATCTGTTGTTTATAAATAAGAACATTTCAATGAATGAGATGTATCCTTGTAACCTTCTCCTCTTAAACTAAATTTCTAACCTGTTTAAATCATTCATAACATCTATACATAAAACTCTACTCAAAGAGCAATAAATATACAGAGAGCTTCCGTTGATGGATTCCATAAATAAGTTTATTTTAGGGACACCCTTATAGTGCCTACTTCGCATTGTATTTTACTAATCCAAACTGTCTATTTTTTATATAATCATTCAAAGATCATCTCTACAAAAAAATCACTTGAATCCAATATCATTTGACCATTCAATTGAGTTATTGAAATTATAGTACTTTCTTGAAGCACAGTATTCATTGATTTTGTAGGACACAATTGGATGTCGAAACGGTTTCTGACTTGTCTAATTTTTTGCAAGGATGGTCTATAAATTTGGACTTTAAAAATAGTTGGTTTGGATCGTTGAAAAAAAAATTGTAGGGTACCTTAAAGAGTGTCCCTATATCATTTGACTACTCAATTAAATTATTGAAATTTTAGTATTTTCTAAAAGCACCGTATTCATTGATTTTGGAGAACAAAATTAGATGTCTAAACGGTTTCCGATTTGTCTAGTTTTTTGCAAGGATGGTCTCTGAATGAAGACCTAAAAAATAGATGATTTGGATTGTTAAAAAAAGAATCGTAAGGTACCCTAAATGATGTCCCTCAAATAAAGTTATTTGAGGGAACTCAATGGAAGGGATATATATATATATATATATATGTGTGTGTGTGTGTTAGCAAGAAATATGGTGCAAATAATTAGAGGAAATAACTTGTTTCACATAATCACCATTCTTAACTCATCGCACACATATACTGTGTGGGCTCCATCTAGTTAATTGGTATTTTAAGGTTATATTAATTATAGGCCTTGATAGAAAGAGAGGTATAGTTTATTAATAATTAATTGGGAGTTTGGGCACAAGGAAAGCAAGGAATAATATTGTCCTTTTTCCACCATGAAAACCCAAATAAGCCAGCAAGCAACCCCAAACTTGGCATGCAGGGGAAATTAAGATTGACCCTGCATGCAGCTTCCTAAATCGATTATGTCTAGCTACTTCTATATATACAATCAATCAATGGGTTCACCACAAATTGGATCAAACAATTAAAACATGATCATCTTTTCAAATATGGGTTAATTTTGTTATTACATTTAAGGTTTGATCTGTTTGTATTAGTGGATCGTTGATGGCAGATGTTAGAGGATCTACAAGAGGGATGGGAGAGAGATCATCGTCGTCGACGTCAACACTAGGTTTCCGCCGAAAGGTTGTACCTTTCTCAGAGTGGATGGAGGACTCCAAAGGCCATTATCTCCTCCTTCAACTTCCAAGTACTTCATATCTACTTAAGCATATCTATTTTTCCAATACTTTATTGTTGTTTCATTTCTTCAAAGAAAAAACACAATGCATATATGCATACTTTTTTCTACGTCACCGTGGTGTTACAATCACATGATAATTAATTGTATGTACGTATGAACTAATTAATAATATAACCAGATGCATTATATTATTAATGAGATTTGTTTATCTTATAATTATACAATTGTCTCTTAGATTTCAAAAAGGGGGAGGTGAAGGTTGAGGTTAATGATTCAGCTGGCCATGTAACAATCAGCGGAGAAAGGCAAGTGAATAAGGAGAATGAATCTGGGTCTTCGGATGAACTTGAGTCTTTTGATGAGGAGGAGAGTGAATCTGATCAGTCTTCTGAGGATGAAATGTATTTTGTGGAGATTAAGAATGAATTTGAGTATTTTGAGGAGAAATTCACCATTCCACCAAACTCAGATTCCAATATGATCACCGCAAAATTGGAGGGTGAGACGCTCTATATCATTATACCAAAGGTAGGAGCAACAGAGAATACAAATGTCCTAGGCTTATTATTAAGACCTGAAAATGATGGACGCTACTCAAACATATTATTAGGAAATGGCCATGTATTGTTCTCTCTGGAAAATATATGGAAATGGGATGAGCATGAAGATGGGGTTTTAAGGATGGCAATGGAGATGCTGAGCAAAAAGAAAAGGATGGTTTTAACCGCCGCGACCGCCGCCCTTGTAGCATTTTCATTAGGGATGCTAGTTTGTCATCAGACGTTCCAATCAGGAGGAGGAGAGTGAGAATTAAGTATGAATTAAGGCTGGCTAGCCATGGATTATGGATATTATGTTTACTTAAGCTAATGTGTACATATTCACAACCCATTCCTCTTAATATTAATGAAAATGAAAATGTCTGAAAAATTAAACATGATGATCGACTGCATATGATATAGAGAATCTATTTTGTGGACATGTGAAGAAGTAAAAAGCAGGGAGCCTCCTTGGGTAAGGGCATGTTTGTATGTTTGCTAATATTCTGAGGCTTGAGCATCAATCACACAATCTCATCCACAGATGATGAGCAGGAGAGCCCAAATATGCTCAAAACAGAAGGGCATCAATTCAAAAATAACTTTATTATATATGTAGGGAAGCAGGATCAGATTCGTTGAGCAACCCAGCAATTGACAACAAAAAGCCACACCACCACAACATCACTTTCTCCATCTGATGCGGCTTGGAGAAGCTTCTTCGAGATGCGTGCCAATTGCCAAAAAGTTGTGACTCAATATCCACTTATAGATGAGAAGAAAAACTCAGTTGCAATTGTTTTGCTATATCCGGCCAGTGATGTTATGTCACTTGAAAGTGTTATTACGTATGTTATAGTGTTATTGATCGAAAATAGCAAAATAATGCTATCCCTTAAAAAGAAAATATCTGAAGTTTGTTTAATCCGTTGCAATTATATATATGAAAGAAATTAAAGCAATATAAATCCACAATTATATCTGAAAAATCACTTTTACTAGTTTAGGTGCTTTTTGAACAGAGCTGAGTTGGCCATATGGTATGGTGGTAGAAAAGAGGATAATATGTGTATGCTCTGGACTTGGAATATTTTGATGATTTTGTTTGACAAGGGGACATAAAGAGATAGAGGAGAGGAGAATATATAGAAGAGAACCCAATATGAAAATAAAAAGGGGGGATGATATGCTTTGTCACCCAAACCTTTATTCAAAATGTGATTGCTTTTCACAAAAAGGGGAGGGCCATGCACTTCTTCCATCCATCCATCCATCCATCCACTACAACTTATCTCTCATTCTCTTCTTTCTCTATCATCATCGACATCTAATGCTATCACCCCATCACAATATTTGACATGCCTCTTCTTAAACAAAGCATAATCAAATTCATTATGAAAAAGTAAAAATTAAAGGAAAAGAAAGAGGAATGTGTGAATTATAATTTACAAGCCCAAAAGTGAATCGAAAACCTTCAGGAGTGAGAATGGAATCTAATCTCTTCCTTCTCAACAAACTCTTTTAAGTTTTAACCCAAAAAAATACATACAAATATATTATCAATAATAAAAACAAAATGATTAGCATGGTAATCAAGCACCATGCCATGCACTTATGCACTTAGGCATATGATATGATATGATGCAATGCAACCCAGCAAGCAAGCAATACACGAATTCAAAAAAGCGCACAGCTCAAAAGCAAAACCCAAAACCCGCACATCCCCCTTCCCATTCCCATTCCCATTTCTTCTCTCTCCCGCTATCAACGCCCAATTTACCAACTGTTTTTGTCCCTAACCAAAACCAAAACCAAAACTCACTCACACTCCCATCAGAAATATGAGACCATGACGGTTTCGTTCCAACTTCCACCCCAACAACAGTCACCGCCACAACAACAGCCACCGCCACAATCCCAATCCCAACCCCAACCCCAGCCCCAGCCCCAGCCCCAGCCACAACCTTCAGAACCACCGCAGCCGCCGAGGACAGTCAGGAAGCTGATCATCGAAGTCGTCGACGCGCGGGACCTTCTGCCCAAGGATGGCCAGGGCAGCTCCAGCCCCTACGTCGTCGCCGACTTCGACGGCCAGCGCAAGCGCACCTCCACCAAGTACAAGTCCCTCAACCCCGCCTGGAATGAGGCCCTCGAGTTCGTCGTCTCCGACCCCGACCACATGGAGTATGAGGAGCTCGAGATCGAGGTCCTCAACGACAAGCGTTTCGGCAACTCCAGTGGCACCGCCCGTAAAAACCACTTCCTCGGCAGGGTCAAGCTCTACGGCACCCAGTTTTCCAGGCGCGGAGACGAGGGGTTGGTATATTTCCAGCTGGAGAAGAAAAGCGTGTTCAGCTGGATCAAAGGCGAGATTGGACTGAGGATTTATTACTACGATGAGTTAGTTGAGGAATCGCCGCCTCCCCCGCCTCAGGAGGATCCGCCGTCGGAGAAGCCGAGATCTCCGCGTCCGGGGGTTGTGGTGGTCGAGGAAGGTAGGGTCTTCGAGGTCCCTGGATTTCCGCTTGCGAACAGAAGTCACGAAAGCTCGTACTCGCCGCCGGTTGTGGTCGTCGAGGAGTCGCCGCCGCCGGTGGTTCATGTACATTCTGAACAGGCGGTGCACGATATGTCGAGTCATCATCAGCATCAGCCGGAGGCTGAGTTTCAACCGGAGGTGAGAAAAATGGAGACTCACAGAGGGATGTGTACTGAGAGAGTGAGAATCCTAAGGAAGCCTAACGGAGACTTCTCGCCGAAGGTGATTTCCAAGAAGTTCGCGGGGCAGGAGACGGAGAGAATCCACCCCCGCGATCTCGTCGAGCCGATGCAGTATTTGTTCATCAGAATCGTCAAGGCTCGAGGCCTGGCTCCGAACGAGAGCCCCTACGTGAGGGTCCGTACATCGACCCACATGGTGAGGTCGAAGGCGGCGCTTCACAGGCCCGGCGAGCCGACGGACTCACCCGAGTGGAACCAGGTGTTCGCCCTCGCACACAACCGGCCTGACTCGGTGAGCTCGGACCTAGAGATCGTCATTCTTGACTCGCCGTCCGACAAGTTCTTAGGCGGCATTCGCTTCAACCTCGCCGACGTGCTGGTTCGAGACCCTCCGGACAGTCCCTTGGCTCCGCAATGGTGCCTTCTAGACGGAGATCAGAACTCCGGCCGAATCACCGGGGAAATCCAGCTCTCTGTTTGGATCGGGACCCAAGCCGACGATGCCTTCCCCGAAGCGTGGAGCTCCGACGCGCCATTTGTGGCTCACACGCGTTCCAAAGTTTACCAATCGCCGAAGCTCTGGTATCTGAGATTGACGATTATGGAAGCTCAGGACCTTCACATTCCATCGAATTTGCCTCCATTAACGGCTCCCGAGATCCGAGTCAAAGCTCAGCTGGGGCCACAATCAGCTAGAACCAGGCGCGGGTGCATGAACAATCACAGCGCGTCGTTTCACTGGAACGAGGACCTCATCTTCGTCGCAGGGGAGCCTCTCGAGGACTCGTTGATCTTACTCGTCGAGGACCGCACCAATAAGGACGCCGCGCTCCTCGGCCACGTCATAATTCCGGTGAGCTCGATCGAGCAGCGCATCGACGAGCGCTACGTGGCGTCCAAGTGGTTCGGGCTGGAGTGCCAAGGAAGCGGGCTGGAGTGCCGCAGGAGCGAGCCCTACTGCGGCAGAATCCATCTACGGCTCTGCTTGGAGGGAGGGTATCACGTGCTGGACGAAGCGGCGCACGTATGCAGCGACTTTCGGCCTACAGCTAAGCAGCTGTGGAAGCCGGCTGTAGGCATTTTGGAGCTGGGGATTCTCGGCGCTCGCGGCTTGCTTCCCATGAAAGCCAAATCAGGTGGGAAAGGCTCCACGGACGCTTACTGTGTGGCCAAGTACGGGAAAAAGTGGGTCCGGACTCGGACCATCACTGATAGCTTTGACCCGCGCTGGAACGAGCAGTACACGTGGCAGGTCTATGACCCCTGCACCGTCCTCACCATAGGAGTGTTTGACAACTGGCGCATGTTTGCTGCCGTGGGGGAGGACAAACCAGATTGCCGTATAGGCAAAATACGAATACGTATATCTACGCTGGAGAGCAACAAGGTGTATACGAACTCATACCCGCTGCTGGTGCTGTTGAGAACTGGGTTGAAGAAAATGGGTGAAATCGAGTTGGCGGTTCGGTTTGCCTGCCCCTCGTTGCTGCCCGAGACGTGCGCGGTGTACGGACAGCCATTGCTTCCTAGAATGCACTATCTCCGCCCCCTTGGGGTGGCTCAACAGGAGGCATTGCGCGGTGCCGCCACTCGCATGGTGTCAGCGTGGCTCGCGCGCTCAGAGCCGCCTTTGGGGTCCGAGGTGGTGCGATACATGTTGGATGCGGATTCGCATTCATGGAGCATGAGAAAAAGCAAAGCGAATTGGTTTCGGATTGTGGCTGTGCTTGCATGGTTGGTCGGGTTGGCAAAATGGTCTGATGATATTAGAAGATGGAGAAACCCGGTTACCACGGTTTTGGTCCATGTGTTGTATTTGGTTCTTGTTTGGTACCCGGATTTGATTGTCCCAACCGGGTTTCTATACGTGTTCTTAATTGGTGTTTGGTATTACCGGTTCAGGCCCAAGATCCCAGCCGGGATGGATATCCGGCTCTCTCAAGCGGATACGGTTGATCCGGATGAACTTGATGAGGAGTTTGATACAATCCCAAGCTCAAGGCCACCTGATGTCATCCGGGTTCGGTATGATCGGTTACGGATGTTGGCAGCCCGGGTCCAAACAGTTTTAGGTGATTTTGCGACACAGGGAGAGCGGGCCCAAGCCTTGGTGAGCTGGAGAGACCCAAGAGCCACAAAACTGTTCATTGGAGTGTGTCTAGCTATCACTGTGGTTTTGTATGCAGTGCCACCAAAAATGGTTGCTGTGGCCTTGGGATTTTACTATCTGCGCCACCCCATGTTCCGAGAGCACATGCCGCCGGCTAGCCTGAACTTCTTCCGGAGGCTGCCAAGCTTGTCGGACCGGTTAATGTAGAGGGAAAGCTGGAAGGAAGAGTAGTAGATATAATATATATATATATATATATTGCCTCCATTAACGGCTCCCGAGATCCGAGTCAAAGCTCAGCTGGGGCCACAATCAGCTAGAACCAGGCGCGGGTGCATGAACAATCACAGCGCGTCGTTTCACTGGAACGAGGACCTCATCTTCGTCGCAGGGGAGCCTCTCGAGGACTCGTTGATCTTACTCGTCGAGGACCGCACCAATAAGGACGCCGCGCTCCTCGGCCACGTCATAATTCCGGTGAGCTCGATCGAGCAGCGCATCGACGAGCGCTACGTGGCGTCCAAGTGGTTCGGGCTGGAGTGCCAAGGAAGCGGGCTGGAGTGCCGCAGGAGCGAGCCCTACTGCGGCAGAATCCATCTACGGCTCTGCTTGGAGGGAGGGTATCACGTGCTGGACGAAGCGGCGCACGTATGCAGCGACTTTCGGCCTACAGCTAAGCAGCTGTGGAAGCCGGCTGTAGGCATTTTGGAGCTGGGGATTCTCGGCGCTCGCGGCTTGCTTCCCATGAAAGCCAAATCAGGTGGGAAAGGCTCCACGGACGCTTACTGTGTGGCCAAGTACGGGAAAAAGTGGGTCCGGACTCGGACCATCACTGATAGCTTTGACCCGCGCTGGAACGAGCAGTACACGTGGCAGGTCTATGACCCCTGCACCGTCCTCACCATAGGAGTGTTTGACAACTGGCGCATGTTTGCTGCCGTGGGGGAGGACAAACCAGATTGCCGTATAGGCAAAATACGAATACGTATATCTACGCTGGAGAGCAACAAGGTGTATACGAACTCATACCCGCTGCTGGTGCTGTTGAGAACTGGGTTGAAGAAAATGGGTGAAATCGAGTTGGCGGTTCGGTTTGCCTGCCCCTCGTTGCTGCCCGAGACGTGCGCGGTGTACGGACAGCCATTGCTTCCTAGAATGCACTATCTCCGCCCCCTTGGGGTGGCTCAACAGGAGGCATTGCGCGGTGCCGCCACTCGCATGGTGTCAGCGTGGCTCGCGCGCTCAGAGCCGCCTTTGGGGTCCGAGGTGGTGCGATACATGTTGGATGCGGATTCGCATTCATGGAGCATGAGAAAAAGCAAAGCGAATTGGTTTCGGATTGTGGCTGTGCTTGCATGGTTGGTCGGGTTGGCAAAATGGTCTGATGATATTAGAAGATGGAGAAACCCGGTTACCACGGTTTTGGTCCATGTGTTGTATTTGGTTCTTGTTTGGTACCCGGATTTGATTGTCCCAACCGGGTTTCTATACGTGTTCTTAATTGGTGTTTGGTATTACCGGTTCAGGCCCAAGATCCCAGCCGGGATGGATATCCGGCTCTCTCAAGCGGATACGGTTGATCCGGATGAACTTGATGAGGAGTTTGATACAATCCCAAGCTCAAGGCCACCTGATGTCATCCGGGTTCGGTATGATCGGTTACGGATGTTGGCAGCCCGGGTCCAAACAGTTTTAGGTGATTTTGCGACACAGGGAGAGCGGGCCCAAGCCTTGGTGAGCTGGAGAGACCCAAGAGCCACAAAACTGTTCATTGGAGTGTGTCTAGCTATCACTGTGGTTTTGTATGCAGTGCCACCAAAAATGGTTGCTGTGGCCTTGGGATTTTACTATCTGCGCCACCCCATGTTCCGAGAGCACATGCCGCCGGCTAGCCTGAACTTCTTCCGGAGGCTGCCAAGCTTGTCGGACCGGTTAATGTAGAGGGAAAGCTGGAAGGAAGAGTAGTAGATATAATATATATATATATATATGTATGGCAACATTTTGTTACTTAGGTGCTAAATTAATCAGAGGGTGACAAAAATTTGAAATTGCGATGAAAACAACTGTGTTAAGTTGAAAAAGAGGTCCTTCAAAATAAAGAGTGAAAAAGTGAGTGGGGAAAGTGGCAAGTTGTCATCATGTTCTGTTTTTTGTGGTTTGTTGAATTGATTTACTGACTATTGAAACCTTGATATAAGAGAAAGGCAATGGGTAGGGGGAAGAAAAAATGAGTGTTGGTAGACTTGAAAATAACATTTGGATGGCAGTGCAGAGCTTTCTGTAATGATGTCGCGGAAAAGTATGAACACTGAAATTGCTTTCTAACGTATAAAATTGCTTTCACATATTTCATCATGTGTTTGTTTCTATATTTGTTAATTAAACTCTCTCCTCCTCATCATGTGTTTGTTTCGAGTACACCAGCTTGTCCAATGCGTATTGGATAGTACATCAACCAGCTGGTGTACTCGAAACATACAAAATTTCTCAAGAAAAAGAACCCTCAAGATAAAAAGGATCCTGCAAAACTCAGGCAAAAGCTAGGCCTCATAGTCAAAGAAACGAGATATCCAAGTGAAGCCTCTGCTGCCACAACTGCTTCCCATTTAGACTTTTGTAATCGGAATTGCAAGTACTTCGAGATTTTCAAGGCACTTTTGTTTTTGTGTCTTTCAAATAATTGTAGCACTGATTTTTTTTTCCATGTATTCATAAATTATGTTACCAAGTTTGGTTTTGATATAAACAAAGCCAAAAGAAAGGGTTGGTCCAAAAGATGAATGCTAATCTAAACAACACAGAAATTGAAAATTCCCTAATCTAAAAACCCACTAGGAAGATAATCACCTTGAGCCCTTGACACTACAAATATAAGTGTTAATTTCCACCTTTTCTTTTTCTTTTTCTTTTTCAGCTATTGAATTCCTTGCCTATTTGAAGTCCTCCATCCTTAAAGCATCAACAAGGTGACTACAACCTTTCATGGGAAAAACTCCAACACGGAGAATTTTCACTCTTGTCCCACGTTGTACTCTCTAGTTTAGTATTAGTTTGTCAACAATAAGGAAACTTCCTCTCACTTCTTTGGTGCCATCCTAATTGAATTCTCAATAAATTCCCATGCCACCTTATACACCATAATTATACAATCTACCAATTAATCAAAGATTTTTTTAAGTAAGCTTGATCCCAATTGGTTTAACAACAAATGAGTAACACTTCAGGTTCCTCCTTCAACATTGGCAAGGAGGCCAGAGGTTTTAGACACTCTACACACCCATCTTCTTCTCTCTTTGTGTCCTTTTCTTTTGATCTTTCTCTACTCATGCATGTTCTCTTACTTTTGATCAGATCTTCTCTACAAGGATTTTGCTTATCAACCGCCCGTGCGGTTTGATTATCGAAGCCTCAACTGGAGCAGTGATGTTTCAGGCAAAGGTTAATTCAAATCTGTTTATCTTTGCTTCTTCACAACATTACAATATTAAATCTGTCAAGTATTGTTGAGCAATGGTAGTGATAAAACTGAGCTGGGGGACTCATAGTTTAGCATGGTTTGCTGGTTTCTGTGACTACTGCAGTTAAACTGATTGCTCCTGGCCTCAGCACCCTCTTCAGTTTTACCATACCAGATTATGGCAGGGTAAGAATTTCCATCAATTTTCCATTTGAGCTACTTTTCAACTTGTCGTTTGAAACCATTAATAAGTTTGATGAGTGATAAATTACACGAGGCCTCACTCTAAGATCAACAGGCATCATTGTGGTAACAGGTGGAGCTGCAATATGAAAACCCTTTTGTGGGGATTGCTGGAGGAATCGGACTGATACGAAATTCCTCCAATACATATGATCCAGTTGCAAACTTATCTGGTGTGGTAGGCATAGGAGGCAGTTCTCTGTTCACCATTGGAGCTGACCTTGCCGCTGACATAGCTACGGGGGCATTTGACAAATTCAACGCCGGTTTGGGCTTCAATGGGGCCTTTTCTACTGCTTCCTTGTCCCTGTGAGCAATCCTGTGAGAACTTTGAAAAGAGAAAATAGTGCACATTACGAACATAAGTTTGTTGACATGAACATAACACTTTGAATCATGCAGGGACAAGCTTGATACTTTAAAAGCTTCATGGTACCACATGGTGAACCCCCTGACCAACACAGCCCTTGGAGCAGAGTTGAAACATAGCTTTTCAACAAATGATACTGCCCTCGCGGTCGGTGCCCGGCATGCATTTTTGCCCTCTACGCTGGCGAAGGCTCGAGTTAGCACACACGGCAGCGTTGGTGTTGTTATACAGCAAGGATTCTGGCAAAAGATCTTTATGTCTATATCTGGAGAGGTGGATTTTGTAGGCATGAACAAAAGTCCAACAATTGGACTATCTCTGGCTGTTAGGCTCTAAAGGAACACCATTTCGAAGCAAATTTTGCTGGTGCTGCAAATTGTTATTATCATGTTCTGATTATTTTTGGTTTTGTGTTTTTTACGAGGTCAATAGTTGAGAAAATGAAGGGGAAAATATATAAAATACGATGAAATTCAGTACTGTATGATAGAAATAAATCTTCTCTATTTCAGGATGATTATGGGTTATGCCAAAGCCATGCTTAATACAAGGAGGATTAGATGTTCGGTTATTTAATTTCACTTTTAATTATGTTCAGGATACACTCCAAAAAAAAAAAAAAAGGGCTAGGAACCCACTAGCTGGCTTCATATACATTTTCCTTGGTAGAAACTTGTACTTCTTTTCCTTTTCTTTTGTTTCTTCTGAACCTGCTTTGGGTTACCTCTAGCTACACACATATCCATGGCCAATAACCATCACATTTAAGAAGATTAACTCTGCCAAATGATATGGCCAAATATAGTTATCGCCATAGCAGCTATGTTTCAGATATCTAATAGACTAATACAGTGAAGCTTATTTGGAGGAAGATGATGAAATAATACGATTCTTTTTTGTGAAGAAATTCATACACTTTTCAGTCGTCTACACACTTAGAAGGTGAAACTGTACAAGAATCAGTACGAAGAATTCTCTCAGTTTATAATATCATTATTAGCTCACCACAAGTATACAGTAGCAGTATTGAACAATTAAAGTAACCATGAAACAAAACTATAGCAAACAGAACACATCGGGATGAAGCAAAAGAACAACTTGCAGATAAGAAATGAAAAACTTGTAGAAGTTCCGAACTACTGGTGAGAACCCTGAAGAAGTCCATCACGAATCTGAGAAGCTACATCACGGACAGCACCAGGTCCATGGGGAATAAACACGGCAGAGGATTTAGAGGAAGCGCCAATGTCCTTCATGGTGTCAAAATACTGAGTCACAAGGACCATGTCCATGACATCCCTTGCACTAGTCCCTGGAACATTGACAGAGAAGCCCAGCACACTGTCTCTCAAACCATCTACAATCGCTTGACGCTGCCGAGCTATACCCAGCCCAGAGAGATACTTGGACTCGGCCTCACCCTCAGCCCGCTTAATTTGCAAAATCTTCTCTGCCTCTGCCTTCTCATTAGCTGCCGCCCGCATTCTTGCAGCTGAAAAATACACAGAAGAAATGGTAAAATAATTGAAACTGAACAGACCACCAGTGCTATACAATAACGCAAGTTAAAAGGAATATGATAATCATCACAGATATGACTTATACCAGCATTGATTTCGTTCATTGCCCGTTTCACATGCTCATCTGGTTCTATGTCAACAATGAGCGTTTGTACAATCTCATAACCATAAGCAGACATAGCCTGCAACAGAGAAAGAGTAACATGGTTAGAATCAAGTTATATTTAGAGTGCATAGCATTATATTTTTTCTGTTTTGCCACATTACTTTCTCGAGCTCATCTTCCACAGCTTTTGCAATTTCATTCTTTTGCTCAAAAGCAGCATCCAGGTTGAGCTTTGGAACACTAGCTCTAATCACTAACAAAATGAAAAAAGCAAACTCAATTAGTGAAAAATACTTCTGATGGGAAAAAAGCTAAAAACACTTGTATAAAAACAGTTGCATATCTCTAATTCATTAAGAAGGATATTTAGTTTATACCATCAAAAACATAGGCCTGGATTTGAGACCTTGTGTTGGTAAGTTTGTAGAAGGCATCATCTGCTTTGTCTGCCAGAGCACGATATTGAATAGATGCAACGACATTGACAAATACGTTGTCCTAAAGAACATATAAATCAAAGTATCAAAGAGGCGCATATAGAGAACATGCAGTAAGTAAACAGTAAAGTGCAAGATATTTTAATATGAAAACTTTTTCATCTAAATTCCTTTCCCATTATTGCTCTATATTGATTTTTTTTTTAAATCATTAGCATACTCGGCTTAAGCAAGCACTGATGTGAACACTTACAAATTTAGAAAAGAGTATATGCTCCCTCTACTTGGATTCATGTGTGAAAAATGCATATAAACTGAGGCACTAGCCTAGATGACAAAATGAGATGGGAAATCTTTTGCTTGTAAGAGAACTTTGGAGAATGAAGTATTAGATATTCAATTAAAAGACATGTAATGACCACTATTATATGGATTAAGTCTACTTATGAAAATTGAGAAACCTTTGTCTTGGTTTCACAGCGCACGTCCAATTGCTGCAAACGAAGAGAGAGATGACCAGCAAGCTGATGCCCAAGAAACCAAGGCAGGCAATGGCATCCTGGCTCAAGAACTTCCACAAACCTACCAAATTTTTCCTTTATAGCTACTGTGGATTGATCAACTTGTACACAACCGAATAGATTACCCATGTTCTCTTCACTATTCGTACCTTCAAGAAACATAGATGCAAATCAGGAATTTTCTAGAAATAAACAATTTTTAGGAAATTTAAAAAGAGGATTAAATAGTAACAATCATGATTTTAGCATGTCCATGGCATTAAATATATTCGTACACATGATTCATCAAATAATTTCACAATGATTCATTCATTAGAAACTATTCAGATCACGTGTTCAAGACCCATCGTCCATAACAAGAACAACCTCTTTAAAGTTCAATTCATATATGGCAATTATACTAGTGTTTATATCTCTGTAAGCGTGAGGGCATGAGAGAGAGTGATTTAAAATTAGTATGTCAAGCAAAGCAGATAGAAAATACAACTCAGGATTGAATGCAAAATGGACACAAGTTCAAATTGATCTTTCATAACACCATCCAAGATTCCAAGTAAGTAAAAACAGGTTTTTGCTAGAAGCATAACGGATTAAAGAGGGCCAAGATCAAGAACACAGACACCCCGCAGAGCTATTTGTTCACCTATGTATCCCTCTCACAGAGAGAGAGAGAGAGAGAGAGAGAGAGACTTACAGTTAGTATAACAGATGAGCGGAACAAGAGAGAAAGGGAAGAAGATATGAATGAGACGACCCAAGCAAGTTGAGATTTATAGACTCAAAAGACGATAACTTGTAAAACTCTTGAAGAAGGCTACAGTCCACAAACTTACACAGTAAAATATTATAAAAATAACTCATAATAATTATTTTTTTCTTTTTATGATTCCATTTTATGCATATACTAATACAAGTTTCAGGCTTTACCACTCTGGCACAATGGAAAAATCGAAAGTCAACAGATTAGATACCCAAAGGGAACTTAATACTATGATCTGTAGCAACAAACCGCCACAAAGACTTCGTACAACTATACACAGCTAAATGCAAAAACCAATAAGAACAGAAGAAAACAACAGAAACACAAATTGTAAATTCCTAAATATAATTATACAGATAAACTAGTTTAGTGCAGAACAAGCCTCAAAACCACCGTCAAGAGTAGCAGTACATAGTATTCATCAAGATACAACCAATGCAGTTTAGTATACAGAATGAAAGAACAAGAACGGACATTTTATCAAATAAATACAATTCGACCAAACCATTTCTAAATTGGGATTGTGACAGCTAACAGCTCAGAGAGCTTTGCCGTCTTAACCAAGAAAATGACATCTGGGTTTGCTGCATTTGTTTCTTTTTACCCAAAAATATAAACTTTTTTTTACCTGAAATCAATTATTACCATTCCACAGATTACATTATCCGATACCCATATTGTATTTCAATAAACAAAATAGATATCCCGGGGAAAAACCAGAACTTGGTCAGGAAGATACGCAGAAAATGCAAAAAGCGAATAGTTTTGCTGTAATAAATGCTTAACTACATGGAAATTGCAAAGAATCCCCATATCAAGATTGAAACTTGCAATGAAAGAGACGTGAAATGTACCTTCTCTGCAATTTCTTCAGGAATTTTAGTTGACCATTCAATAAACAAAATAGATATGCCGGGGAAAAACCAGAACTTGGTCAGGAAGATACGCAGAAAATGCAAAAAGCGAATAGTTTTGCTGTAATAAATGCTTAACTACATGGAAATTGCAAAGAATCCCCATATCAAGATTGAAACTTGCAATGAAAGAGACGTGAAATGTACCTTCTCTGCAATTTCTTCAGGAATTTTAGTTGACCGTTCAAGATGACGAAGATGAGAACTACGCTATTGAATACCAACCGGGGAAAGTGAGATGCTTTGAGTTTTCCTTCGGAGTAAACAGATTGTGTGAATTTTACGAGACCAAATATTTCGTCAACTGCAAAGGACCAATTGGCAATTTGCCAATAGTTTCGATAACAAACCTACTAACGTCGTCGTTTCACGCTAGTGTTATTAATTCGGCGATGAGAATGCCACGTAAACTTTCAAAACACAGCTCACAAATCGCCACGTCCCTTCTCCTAGTTACAGATCAGATTACAATTCGCAAGTGGGTCCGAAAAGTTAACGGCCATGTTTGATAGGGCCCGGTCAACCATTATGTTTCTTTGACGCCAAGGTTTCCTATTTGTTTAACTACAAGTTTTTCAAGTAACAACTGAGGAGAGCTTCATAATTATGTTGAATCTCTTCTATCATATGTAGGTTGGATGATGCAAGTTGAATTTGTCATTTTCAAGATTGTATGTGTTTGAAAACCAAAATCTATAGTAAATTATCACACTTACAAACGAAAACTGTTATTTAAACTCCAAAAAAGTCATCATGCACTTCTTTTTGAAAAAGAGAAACGACACTTAAAAGAGTGCATGATGACTTTTTCATACTGCAAATTATAACTCACTTATGAATTTGCTTTGAGCATGTACACTCTAGAAGGGTCAAGCGACAAATATATATATATTTGGTTTTCATTGATGACAATCAAGTCATCTTCTCTTTAAACGTTAATGACACTAAGAAGGGTCAAAACAAGAGCAATGTAGAAAAAAGAAAGAGGATGTGATAGAATTAGATTAGGACTAAAATGGAGAAAAATATCATTATAGATAGAGCAATGGCTAGTTAGTGATAGAATTAGATAATCTGAAGAAGTTCATTTGAAAGTGAAATTTTATCAATTAGCAATCTCCAAAGACTAAGACTAGGCATATAATATTCAGTTTAAAAGGTTGTCGTAGAGAGCTTAGGTAACTTTTAAATAAAAATAAGATATGTACAAAATCTAAAGATAAGATCACAACATATATATCTTCTGATTTGTCTTCACTTTCATAAATTTCCACGAAATATATGAGGTTAGTGAAGAAGTCATTTCATGAATACATTATTCTAATAAAAAAAATCAATTGTATAGCTGTTATCGGATGAATGGATTGAATCCGTCAACACATCTCTTTAACATAGCCCCCTCATTAGAGAACTTCCATCCATGGTGTCATGGCAAAGGGAAAGGATATGGACTGTTCATGTGAATAGTAGCAATAATTTTTTTTATTTTTCTACCCATTGTCATGGCAACTCAAGGGTAATTACTATTCACATGGGATTAATTTTATTTTATGTATGAGATTAATTATATAAAAAATTATTATGTATGTAAAAAAAATGATTCTAAATTTTTTTGGTAATTTTTCAGAATTTTTTTTGATTTTTTAAATAAAAAAATTTATTCACTAACATCAACGCCCTCAGTCAACGGCTCGAGCCTGCTTAGTCTTTCTTGGAGCCCACCATCTGCCCGAGCTAGATTTGTGCGGTGGTCTGCGGTGGAAGTGCTCTTATAGAAATTCCGTTATATCATGATAGGCCATGACAAATAAATAGTGGCTTAGTCTTGGGCTTAGCTTGGAGTGTAAGTAGACTTTTTAAATGGGTTGGGCTTAGATCACCCTTAGTCTTGGGCTTAGCTTCAAGTTTAAATAGCCTTATTAAATGGGTTGGGCTTGGATCACCCATATTTGTCCATCTTATTTTGGAATAAAATTAAAAACATTTCTTTTGTAATTAATTGGAATTTGGGAAAGATAAAGCTATCACCTTTCATCAAATTTGATTGGCGGGTATACAGCGACGTTAGATTTTGGGTACGCATACAAACAAACCCTCTTCTTCCTTTCTCTCTCTTTCTCTCTCTCTGGCATCCCACGTGGCAGTCCACAAGCACAGACACTTTCAAAACACAGAGAGAGCCAGAGCTTCGAGACACATCATCCATGGCTGCCTCTACTGCAACATCTTCGGCTACTTGTAATATCCATGGAAATCTCAGCCACACCAGAACCTTCCTCTCCTCCAAACCTCACTACCATTCCATCTCTGGCCGTCCCTGCAACTCCCCCTCCAAATCAAGACCTTTAACTATCGTTTCCATGGCACCCCAAAAGAAGGTACGTCTACTCTATTCTAATTATGTTTGGCTGCCGAGAAAGAGCAATTATTTAAATACCCATTTGTTTGGTTGCTGAGAAAACGTTAATTGCATAAATACCCAGGTGAACAAGCTCGACGGAGGCTGGCAGAAGAAGTGGTACGGAGCCGGAATCTTCTACGAAGGAGCGGAAGAAGTTGAGGTGGACGTCTTCAAGAAGCTGGAGAAGCAGAAGGTCCTCAGCAAAGTTGAAAAGGCTGGGCTTTTAACCAAGGCAGAGGAGCTTGGGCTGACCCTCACGTCGATTGAGAAATTGGGGCTGCTTTCGAAGGCCGAGGAGCTTGGGCTGCTCAGCCTGCTCGAGAAAGCTGCAGGCGTCTCTCCCTCAGCCTTGGCCTCGGCGGCGCTGCCGATTCTGGTGGCGGCGGTGGCGGCCATCGTGCTGATACCGGATGACTCAGGGGCGCTGGTGGCCGTGCAGGCTGTGGTGGCTGGTACGCTTGGGGCTGGCGCTGCTGGCTTGTTAGTTGGGTCAGTTGTCTTGGATGGCTTGCAAGAAGCCGATTGAGTTTCCCACAAAAAGAGTCAAAAAAAACGAAAAAATAAAACAGAAGAACATCTGTTTCTTTATAATTGTCTTGGATTGGATGGCCTTTTAATTATGTATGTCATATATACTAAATTGGAGAAGGGAACTAATAAATGTTTTGAAATTGTTGGTTTAGCAATGCATCAAGGAAAATTTTGGAATGGTTGTGTTTGTTTGTTGCTGGACTTGGATGAAAGTAAATTTTGATGTATTTGTTAGTGAAAGCTAATTAGTATTGTTCATGGTGACTGCTTGTTGAACAAGGCAGCATTAGTGTAAATTGGTGCAGGAAGAGCGAGTGCGTCGGGTGTTGGACACGAAACAAATGAAGGAGGTTTGTTTTTTTTAGGCAGGTTGCGTCTGTATGTGCAAATGTAAATAGTTCCATGTTTATACTGCTATACTGCTAGTGCTTTTGATTTGAATTTTTGCTTGAAGTAACATTTTTTAAGAGAGAGAAGTAACATGTTTGTAACTGGACTTGCTGCTGCAGGAATTTTGGTCCTGTAAATCCCAAATTCCCATTGCCAGCTGCTTGTCTTCTTCAAATCCATCGCTGTTTTCTCGCCATCAACTTGCTGGCATGGACTGTTGGTGGTCTTTGAAAAACAGGTATCTGAGCTTGGATTGTGAGTATCAGCATGAAATTAACTTGTGCTTTGCTGTAGATTAGGGTTTATGGGACTGGTTTTGATAGTTAAATAGAGTGAGAAAAAAAAAACAAAAGAATCCTAACCGTATCTAAAATTTATTTGTGATACAATTAAAATTTAAATTGCCATTGAGAAATAATTGATAAAAAGTTTAACTGGGGTGGACCAGACTCTATTTATTTTTGAATTATGAAGAAAAGAAGGGAAAGAGGAAGAAATAGGAAAAAGAAAAGAAAATAGTTAGGATAATTAAACCCAAAAGTAATCATTTGGATTGGAATAGTTTTCATCTTATAAGTTTATTTATATATTTATATTTAGAATTAATTACATGTGAGACATATTCTCCTCCCCTGATTTAACTAATTACACGATTTTATTTGAGTGATTGATATTTTTTGATTGGCCGAGAACAGATTTTTTACCAACAAAGATGATATTGAAATTAAATGGCCGAGATGCATACAGAGATATACATCCAAGGAAATTGCTTGGGTCTCAAATAAAATCCTTGCTTCCCAAGCAAAAGCAGGAAGGATCCTATATTAGTATCCAAAATAAGAACAGGCATTTCATTTCTCCTCTGCAGCAAATTCAAATTGGTACTATCCAATTTGATGGTCATGAAGCCAGGGCAAGTTCAACTCCTCTCTGTTCTCAAAGCATGCCAAAGCTCTGTGGGCAGTAATATTTCAAACCTCACGAGAATGGCTGCTCCTACAACTCTTGTTGGCCCTCCAGAGCTCAAACAACCAGTAACCTCATCACCACCACCACCACAACTCCAATTACTATACCAACTCGCTTCCGTCTCATCCGCCACCAAGGATAATTACCGCTCCTTTGGTAACCCCTGCCATGCAATCTATTTCAACTACAAAACTCATAGACATCTGAAGCAACTGCTCCCACTCGCCTGGTCCCACAATCCCCTAACCACCCTTAAGCTCATCTGTAGCCTACTATGCTTTGAAGAGAAAGAATTGTTTTACACGGCGGCGTCTTGGCTCTTCCAGAACCACCCCAAGACCCTAGCGTGCAACGTGGTGCCTATTGCTGGGGCATTGGGGGATTTCGAAGACATTCTGGAGGTTCTCTACGGGATTCTAGATGTCAATGCCGTGAGGAAGAGGAGGAGTCGGAGTCGGAGTCGGAATTTGTGGTTTGACTACGAGGAGGACGTGATACAGAAGAAAGTAGGCAGCGGGGCTGATATTAGTAGTAATACGAGAAAGAAGATGATTGACATGGCAAGGAAGGCTGTTGAGATTATGGGGGTGATCTGGATTATCAACTGTTACATGAGCGGGTTTCGGATCTTTACGCTGAATGCTTGAAGTCTGATATTCAGAATTTGAAGAAATATGAGAAGCAGAAGATGGAAAATGTCAATGGTCCTGACAAGTTAGATTTGGAGTTGAAGTTAACCTTGGCAGCCAAGTGGTGCCCTTCCGTCGATTCCTTCTTTGATCGCGCCACGTTGCTCTGTGAGACCATTGCAAGGAAGCTTTTCCCGCGAGGGGAGTGCAAGAAAGGTAATTCTGTCGAGGAAGAGGAGGCGGATTACGTGTCAAGAGTTCGAGAGCGGCTGATGAATGAAGTTTTGGAGCCCTTGAGGAAAGTCATTAAAGAAGGTTATAAAGAAAAATATGTACCCTATCAAAGAAGAGGAGAGGACCCTCGGGGTCAAGAAGTATTTGATGCGTGTCAACTCAAAAAAGATTGAAGCAGGTGCTATGCTTCCACATCAGATCATAGGCTATGCGAATGACCGCAATTTCGGGGAACTGGCTGAGGCTCAGTGGAAGGCGATGGTGGAGGAGATGTATTCAAAGCAGGGAAAGTTCAAGAACTGCTTAGCTGTGTGTGACGTCTCTGGAAGGATGTCTAGGGATCCCATGAATTTTTCATTGGGTTTGGGACTGTTGGTGTCTGAGCTGAGTGAAGAGCCATGGAAAGGAAAGGTCTTCACTTTTAGTCGAAATCCTCAGCTACTTTTGATACAAGGCGATGATCTTAAGTCCAAGTGTGCGTTTATGAGGAGGATGGACAACCAGGACTGGGACGGGGAGACTGATTTTAACAAGGTGTTTGATTTGATCCTGGAAGTGGCTGTGAAGGGGAACTTGAAGCCAGAGCAAATGATCAAGAGGTTGTATGTGTTCACCAGTGACCAAGATTTTGATGATGCTTCCGCAAATAGCTGGAAGACTGATTATCAGACAATACAGAGCAAGTTTAACGAGAAAGGATACGGCAATGTGGTGCCACGCGTAGTGTTTTGGGATATGAACAAAGACAAGTCTATCCCGGTGGCGTATTCTGCAGTACAAGGGGTGGCCAGGATGACTGGCTACTCCAAGAACTTAGTCAAGTGCTTCTTGGACAATGATGGGGATGTCGGCCCCGATCATGTTATGGAAGCAGCCATCTCTGGCAATTATTATCAAAACCTGGCTGTAGTTGACTGATCCTCATATGATTACTGTCTCCTTCTCCTTTGGCATTTGGGATTTTATGAAAAGAAACTTGAATTGACTTATTTAATGATATGATAATGTGTATGTCCTGTTTTATATTTTGCTTTCTGCACAAATCATTTTCCATTCAAATATGGAACTTTTGAAATTAGAATTTTCTTTCTGCTCCTACAACTCTTGTTGGTCACCACCACCACTACCGCAACTCCAACCTGCTGCTGGAATTTTTGTGGGTATTTCAAAATGCAAAAATTAATTTATGTTGAATTTAATTTTTCAGATTTTGTCATATGTTTTCAATTGCTATATTTACTTCTGGCAATTAAGTTTTGATTGCTCAAAATCCCCCATTCCTATAATGCTCCTTTCGAGCACTGATTTTTGTAATTTTATATTATTTTTGTTCAGACTCGTTGAAGAAAAAATATAATTATATTGCTTGAAGCCCAAGTAAGCAAATACTTTGTGCCCAAGGAAAAGCAGACTGAAAGAGACCTCTCCTCTCGAAATGTGTTTATCTGCACTAGTCTTTATTTCTCCTCTGCAACAAGTTGACTGAGGAAATCAGCCACCGCCACTACTAATACCATGAAACGAGGGCAAGTGCAGGCGCTCTCTGTTCTCAAAGCATGCCAAAATTATACGGCCAATACCTCACAACTCACAACAAGGGCTCCTACAACTCTTGTTGGTCCTCCAGAGCTCAAATCTTTATCGCCGCCACTACAACCACCACAACCCCAATTAGTACCGAAACTCGCTTCCAGTCTTAGCCACGGGACCAAGATCCCCTGCTCCTACGGTAACCCCTGCCTTGATCTCTATTTCCACGTCCTGCCAGGCACCCCGGACTCCGGTAGCTATCTGAAACAACTGCTCCCGCTGGCCTGGTCCCACAATTCCTTAACCACCCTCAAGCTCATCTGCAAGCTACTAGGCAGAAGCTTCCACCTCGAAGAATTGTTCTACACAGCGGCGCTTTGGCTCCACCAGAACCACCCCAAGACCCTAGCGCACAACCTCCTGCCAATTGCTGGGTCGTTGGGGGGTCGTTGGGGCGTTTCAGATCCCTTCTCGAGGTTCTGTACGGGGTTCTAGAAGGCCGGGATGATGCCAACTACAAGAGGAAGAGGATAAAGAGGATGCAAAACCTGCTGTATTATTATGATGACTTGATAATTAAAACAGTAGGCAGCGGGAGGCGTACTAGTAGCAAGAAGAGAGAGAAGATCATCGCCATGGCCAAGAAAGCTGTTGAGATGTACGAGGGTGACCAAGATTATCAGTTTCTACATGAGCGGGTTTCAGATATTTACGCTGAGTGCTTGAAGTATGATATCAAAAACTTGAAGAAATTTGAGCAGCAGGGAAAGGACAATGTCAATGATCCTAAGCACTCCTTGAAGTTGGGGTTAACAGATGCAGCGAGGTGTTGCCCTTCCGTGGATTCCTTTTTCGACCGTGCCACTTTGCTCTGCGAGAGCATTGCGAAGAAGGTTTTCCTGTGAGAGCAATGCTCGCAAGGCGGTTGTTGTGCTGAGGAGGAGGAGGAGGAGGAGGCTGATTACGCGTCCAGGGTCCGAGAGAGGCTGATGAAGGAGGTTTTGGAGCCCTTGAGGAAGGCCATGGACGAAGGCTTTGAAGATAAGTTTCCAAGAAAGCAGCACTCATGTCCGATTGAGAAGTATTTGAATGATGTCAAAGCTGGTGGAGAGTCTAAGATCAATGTAAGTGCTATTCTTACACATGATATCATAGGCTACGTGAGTGATAAAAATTTCGGGCCACTGGTTGAGCATCAGTGGAAGGCAATGGTTGAGAAAATCTATTCAAAGCAGGGAAAGTTCAAGAATTGCTTGGCTGTATGTGACGTCTCAGCAAGGATGAGTGGATATCCCATGGATATGTCAATTTCTTTGGGACTGTTGGTGTCTGAATTGGGTGAAGAGCCGTGGAAAGGAAAGGTGATAACTTTCGGTCAAAATCCTCAGCTACATTCGATACAAGGCGGTGATATAAAGTCCAAGTACACATTTATGAGGACGATGGATAACCAGCATTGGGATGGCGAGACTGATTTTCAGAAGGTGTTTGATTTAATTCTTCAAGTGGCTGTGAATGGGAATTTGAAGCCAGACCAAATGATCAAGAGGCTCTTCGTGTTCACCAGCGACCAAGACTTTGATGATGCTTCTTTCAATAGATGGGAGACTGACTATGAGGCGATACAGAGAAAGTTCAAGGAGAAAGGATATGGCGATGTGGTGCCACGCATACTGTTTTGGAATCTGAATGACAACGACATGCCTATACCAGTGGCGCATGCTACAGAACAAGGTGTGGCGAGGTTGAGTGGCTTCTCCTATAATTTGGTCAAGTGCTTCTTGGAGAATGATGGGGAAATTGGCCCCCATCATCTCATGGTAATAGACATCTCTGGCTCGCGGTATCAACATCTGGCTGTAGTAGACTGATGCTATCATCATCATCATCATCATCAGTTTTAAGAAAAGATCAGCTTCATTCTCTCCAATAATTCGTTGTTTCTTTTTTATCTGTTTGCCTAGTTAAGCTTCTAATCCTGAGCATTGAACCAGTTGCAGTGTTTTCGGTTTTTCTTCTAAGCTGGTTTCTGTGTTGGGTTTCATGTAAGTTAATTTCGTTGGGTTGGTAATGGCTAGTTAATTAATTCTGTTTAGACTGTTTCTGTTTCCTTGGCACCCCATATTGGTACCTTAAAGACAACTAAATGAATAACCAAGAAAATAATACATTTGCATGATTGATATAGCTCATATTGGTTCCAAACACACACAAATATTCATATATATTAAATGGAATGGGCACATGATCGGGTGATTCTTGGAAAGGAAGGGAAAGGTGGACCTCTGTTTAATTCTTAGAGGGTTGTTGGGTTTTGATTTTCCTTGAAATCAGATCCTGTTGATCTGTATTTGTAGCGGCTGGCCCATAAGAGATAGTACAAAAAGTTCAATCCACTTAAGACACACATCAACCAGTAAAACCTCTCAAGATGATAATGATTCAAGTTGTCGCCAAATAGCCATGGTGTGTGCCTATACGCCCCAGTGACATCGTTGACGATGGATACAAGCACTGAGCTAAGATAATATCCCATGGCTAGAGATGCCCAAGAGAGAGCTGTGGCCAAAGATCTCATGCTCATTGGAGCTTCTGTGAAGAAGAATTCCATCATTCCAGCCAATGTGAAAAGGTCAGCTGACCCAAGGAACAAGTACTGTAAAGCCACCCAAAGGAATGTGATGGGCAGAGGTTCAGCAGAGTCTAGTAGTCCATATTTAGCTGCTACGTTCTTTCGCTTGATTTCCACCACAGCAGCCACTGCCATGGCAATGACTGAAAGAATTAGTCCAATCCCAATTCTCTGTAGATGAGTGATCCCCATTTCAGTTTTGGTTATTTTTCTTGCGAATGGAACGATTGCATGGTTATAAACCGGGGCAAGGATCATGATGAAGAGGACAGGGAAGACAGGGAGAGAAGCCGGTGGAACCTTAAAGGAACCGAGCTGAGTATTCATGGTGGCTGCTTGTTGCACTGAGAATGTGGAGAGTTGAGCTAGGCAGCAGTTTAGCATTATGGTAGACATAAGGATAGGGAGAATTTTTAACACTATCTTCACCTCTTCGACTTGCTTTACAGTACATTTTAGCATTGGATGGACTGGTCTAATAGTCACTGCTCTGTTAAGGAACTTGAGGCTCTCAGATGGAGTTTGACTTGTCATCTTTTCTTCTCTCTCACTAGGGTTATTTGTATAAGATGGGGTTATGGCCATGTTGGTGACAGCATTGCTAGGATTTCTAGCTATGCAGGCATTGCAAATTGCTGCAGTCATAACCTGATGGACACAATTCACAAATAAAGGAGGTGAGTTTTGTTTACGAAGGTTCAGTCTAATGCAAATTTAAATTGTTCTATGTTAATAATGATTTTACCTTAAACATAGTTGTAATTGGACTTCCTGCAGGAATTTTGGTCCTGTATTTAGGAGAGCCTAGGAGGAAGAGTGGGATGGAGATCAGTATTGTTGCAGTGGAAATCCCAAAACCCCATTGCCAGCCTTTATTGTCTTCAATCCATACCACAAACGTGACTGCAACAAGAGCCCCACAAGAGAGACAGAAGACATAGTAGTTGAAGAATGCAGATCTCTGCTTCCGGCCTTGTTGGGTTGTCTCATCAAACTGCTCAGCCCCGTGGGGGGGAAGAGAACCTTTTATTCCTCCAACTCCAAGTGCCACCAGATAGAGGCCTGCAAATAACATCACTGTTTTCCCACCAAGAACTTCCTGGCATGGACTCTGGGTGGTCACTGAAAGGCAGGTTGGTGGCTTTAGTGATGGTATCTGAGCTTGGATTGTGAGAATCAGTAACCCCTGGTCCATCAGTCTAAATTAGTAATGTGGCAATAGTAGTCATTGTATTTGTCAGAGCTTAAATTGTAAAATGAATTGTTTAGGAGGGATGTTCACAACAAATTTATCTTGGCAGCCTTGGACCTTTTGGTTAATTTATGAGTCTTCTCTTTGATTAACCAATTAATCAAATGGTCATTAGCTCTTGTCATATTAAGTGAACTTTATCAGGTTAATTAATGTTAGAAAACTAACATTGTTTTCCAACATTAATTAGATGTAACATTATTTGACTGGATTTATTATGTCCCTACAGAGATATTTCAATGAGTCCCATAGCCAACTAGGCTTTTTCTTGGAGAAGTACTCTTGCTGCCAGTCTGTGACAGCACTCTGCAAGTTGAAAATGAAACTATCTTACTCATGGGAAACTTTATATTTCAAGGGCAAATTCTGAGGAAGGCTTAGTTGGAAACTGTCAAAAACCGATTTCATGAAGTAAACTGACGGGGAAAAGAATTAGAATCCGAATGTTCGTTTGAAACTCACCATGAATTCTATTGCAGCACTTATCAAATAGATGCAGTAGGTGGTGAAGTAAGCATCAGCTAGAAAGCCACCAAGGAGAGCAAGGAGGAAGGCGGTGCCCATGAAATTGGTTACGATGTTGGAAGAAGTTGATGGAGAAAAATGCATGAATTTAGACAGGTATAGCACAAGGTTGCTTGCATTGGCCAGGAAAGCCAGGTTCTCCAGTATCTCCACCACTAATGTTTTCAACAGAAAAAGGTTAGAGATGTTCATGTCATATTTTCTATTTATACTGCAACACATCTAAAGAAGTTTATAATATAAAAAATGTAAAAAGTACTAGAAAATGTGCTTGCAGGGATCTAAGGCTTACTAACCTAAGACAAAGGAAGCAGCAAGCATGCCACCATGACAGCCTCTTATGGCAGGTCTGTTCCTCCAATCTACATAGCCTTCCCATATGTCCAAATGGTGTGCTTCATCCTACAATGATATCCAAAATAAAATCAAACCATAGCGGTACGTAGAGCAAGGACACTGACATATATGCGAAATCTTAACTTTGAAACTTACCATCTTCTTTTAGAGCTTCTAGACTTTTTTCTGGGAAAGGAAAGGGGGGAGGCTGGACAGGTTGGACTGATGTCAGTAGTTTTTGTTACTTCAGTTTGGAAGTGATAAATGGAGGTATATTTATATACAGAGAAAGGCTAGTATAAGGAGAAGGATCTAGACTCCATGAAAATGACTATTCATTCTCCCTGGCCTCTTAACCTCAAAAAAGATGGTGTTGGCAGTTTCTACCCCTTAAATTGAAAAGGGGAGAAGGGGGGGTTATTTTGGATTTCTTAATCATAGAGAAACATGTGTTTCATGTAAAATGGGAGCCAAATATACTCCCACAGTCCCACTACTAATACAATATTGGTCTTCTAATTTGTTCTAAAATTGACATCATCATTCTGTTGTTGCTTTTCAATTAAACCAGGTTAAATGTATATATACTAATCACATTCCTCACAACCATTAGAATAAATTATTAGTGTTTTGAAGCTCACTATACAGGTGTAAGAAGCTGACGTTAGAGAGGCTGATCTGATATATATGAACTTCAAATTGAGAATCAAATGTGGAGGTAAGTGATTGTCTGACCAAACCATGCACTCTGTTCTTGTCCATATATGCAATTAGTACAAACTAAAAGCAAGTGGGGTGGACAAAATTAATGAGGGTCTTAATCTTATGATGTTGGTTTTGAATAAAAGGTTAGAATGTAGCTTTTCAGGCACGCCCCACAGGCACAGGCACAGCCACATCCAAAACCACTCACCCTAATCTCTAAGGATCTATAAATGCTAAATCTTCTTACTTCTTTGCACTATCTCAGTATTATCTTATTGATCTGGCTACAAGAATGCCTATCATGTCCATTTATTTTGGGAATTCAAGGCCATCCAATCAATGTTCATGTGACTTTTGTCTCTTGGCATTGCTCTTATAGCTTTCAGAGAGATGGGCTTCGATGTTTCTTCTTACTACTAGAGTCATCTGACTGGTGTGGTAATATCATTCTATGTTGTTGCCCTGTAGTGTAGGTTTCCTTTCTGAGCCACCTGATCATATAAAATGTGTGGCTATAATTTCTCAGAGACAAAAGCGTGCAGGATCTTAAATTGGATGGCAATTTGGTGTTTTTCAATTGGATGTGGTCCTAGCAGTCCAGCTTTCCTCCCATGCCTTGCCAGAACATCTTGATTCCCCCTTGTTGAATTTGACCCTATGGAGCTTCACAGTGAGACTGCAAAAAGAAAGAAACTATTCAAAACTGAAACACAGAGGTTAACAATAACATTTCATCTATATATCCTCTCTTTTGCTTTTGGTGCAAGACATAAGTTTCTTCCACATAAGTATATACTTCCAGGAGTCTGAACAGATTTTTGTGAACCTAGTTGTGTGAGACAGCTAGTGTTAGGTTTGTTTTCTGAATGAAAGTTACAGCACACTCATCATCTCAACATCACCATTCATGGGATATAATTATCTGATTATTCTCCACCCTAGAATGTAGGTTTTTGTCAAGGAGAACATTAGAATGCTGATGTTAATCATCTAAATAATTAATGGGTTAAGAATATTCCCTGGCTAGTTCAAAAGTTGTGGCCAATAAACAGAAGCAGGTTCCTGCATTGTTTTTCCAATTGGAATTAGGATCATAATGGAACCCATTTTATACCTCCTTTCACAAACTTTTGCCTTAAATCCAACTGTGATTTCCATTTTTACCAGTTATCATTTTAGAAGATTACAGAATCCCAAGTAATCTAGAAGATTCCTCAAACCATTTTCAATGTTCCAGATGTTGAAGCACAATGCACTAACTAGCCACAATCACTGGCCAAGAAAAGTTTCAATTGTAGCAGAACTCTTGCATTGACCAAATGGTAAGATATCCAAGCTTCAAGAGCCACTCTAGACCCTAGTGGTTGTTTAGGGAAAGGCCTTGTTGCAAAGTTTGTGTAGAAATAACAACCAGTGAGGCAGTAGAGTGCAGAGAAGTGGTTTCAGGTTGGCCTAAAAATAGAAAGATTTGAAAGAAATGTTCAAAATGCAGGTGGTGGTGGGCAACATGAGAGGGTTGAGAAGAAATTCTTGCCTATGTGCTCCATTGAACATGTTCTCTGCTTTGAATTGAACCACCATGAAAATGAAACTATCCACACAAGTTGGAGAGTTTCCACTTGCCTCCCATGTAGTTTTGAACCTTTTTGCATACTTGACATAGGTCAATAAGACCATCAAAAGAAAAGGGATTGCTTGCTGCTGAGAACCAAATCTCTTTCACTTGTTGCAATTCTAAATGAGAGAACAAGTATTGGGTGCTTAAAGCAAAACTAGATGGTGGTGGGAAATGGATCTTGTACCCAGTGGGTCATTAATGGGCTTATAGCTCACAAAGATCCAACACTAACTCTGGGCTTGTGTATACAACTTTGGTACAAATTAATTCTGACCCAAACTAAAATGCCTGAAATTGTGGGTTACTTGGGATTAGGAAAATGGACCATAATTTTCACTGCTGCTTCCAGACCTACCACAATGTTATTAGGTTTTTAGGTCTACAAGTAAAATATATAATCACATTGACTGGTATTTAAAATTTGAGATTTGCAGATGTCGGTTAGATCAGTTGGTTATAGTCCTAAATTAATTTAGAATAGTTTAGATTATCGTTTGTGTCGAACAAAGTTGAGGGTAATTACAAATGTAGAGGATTCAGAGTGAACAGTGAGATTAGACACTGCATTTTTAGATAAGTTCAAATATGGGGCACATCACAGGGTCAGGCTGATAAGCTGATGGTGAGACCAAGCGAATATAAAATCTCTGTGAAGAGACATGGGTGGGCCGACATCACGTAAACGTGGCCCAATAATGGCCCGCCATGTTGAAACACGAGCCGCGTGAGTGGTTGAAGTGGCACTGAGCGGTCAGACTCAGTGAGTGAGAGAAGAGAGAGAAAGCTGAGGGTGACTCGGTCAGTGAGTCATCCGTTTTAGACTCGCACCCCCCATCCAACTCAGTCATTTTTCTCTCTCTTCTCTCTCTGAATTCTGAGAGCGACTGGTTCGACTGGATTCCTTTGTTTCTCTATTCTCCCTCGTTTTCATCTTCCATTGCCCCCCACATTTACCGCTATACCCTCCGCTACATGTTTCACGCTCCCATTTCTAACATTTTTTTAAAGAAAATCCTTGCATATTATAATGTTTAGAATGTTGTTTGCACGTCTTTCTGAAAAAAAAACAAAACCAAATTTTGTCCATAAGAAGAAGTCTTCCCGCTCACTATGTTTACGAGTGTTTTTGAAATGGTTAAAAGCACTTTCTGATAAATAATTATGAATGCGTTTGAAAGAAAAATTTGGAAGTGCTTATTGTTTATAACAGCATAATCTGAATAAGCACCTTTCAAGCACTTAACACGTGGATTTTTAACAAAAAATTCTATGTTCTTCTACTATAAGCACTTATGAGCAAGATTTGTTTCTTATAAAATTGAGTTTCAAACAACCCTCATATAAACGATGAAATTGTAAACTATAAAACTCATTATAAACATTAAGATTTACTCAATATATGGGTGCATTTTACAATACTCATTATGAATGTTAAAATTTACTCGATTACATGTATCTAAAATTAGAAGAATATTAATTTTTTTCTCTTTTAGAAAAGAATTGATTTATTTATTCATCTATTTTTGTGTTTCACAAGGCATTTGAACCTCTAACAAAGTACAACAACAATGGCCTTATTTTGTCATTCTAACAAAGATTCAACATCAAATACTTCAATTCAAAACAAAAGATAAGATAAAGAGAAATGATAATATTTGGGTTATGCATGTCGTTATGACTTATGAATATGAATACAATTGATGCCTTGGTCTTGACCAAAAAAATTGATGCCTTGGAAGCAAGGGCACGATGGTAATTAGACTCCAATCTTTGTCCCATCCTAGAACAAGAACCCATTTGGGCTTCGCTATATTTACATCACCAAGCTCAGAACTTCAGAGAAAGAAACTCTCTGTCTGCATCTCTCTCTCTCTCTCTCTCTCTCTCTCTCTCTCTCGCTCTGCCTCTGAGACTTCCAAATATAAAGAACTGCTTTCTTCTCCACTCTTTCTCTACCATCTTCAACCTCAAGACCATCTCCTTCCTCTTCTTCTGAGTGATGGGGGTGAGCAGCCGCTGTTCTCACACTTCCCACATCACAGAAATCATCATCACCAGCTTCTTCCGCCACAAAGCGTGATTCTTTGCCTCAAACCCGAGCTTCTGATCGCCATCAAAACCAGGCGGTGATGTCAGCTTGAACAATTTAACAAACGCGAACTAAACAATACTAATTCATCGGAGTGTTCAGAAGAGTAACATGGCCGGTGGTAGGGTCTATAGCGGTGGTGCTTCTTCGTCCAGCTTAAGTGTTTTGCTTCAGAATCAGAGGGGCCCTTGTGCTTCTGAGCCTCTTGATTCTCTGTTCCTTTCTGGGTCTTCTAATTCTTCCTCTGCTTCTCCTTTTCTGGGTACTTTTTCACTCTCTTTTCTACTTTGTCTCTGTTTTTCATATCTATAACTCTTTTTGTTAGTGTCTCTGTTATGGTTTTTTGTTTTTTGTTTTTTGTTTTCCTTAAATGTTTAATCTTTTGGGATATTTACTTTGAGGCATATATGCCATCTGTTTGCATGACAATTACAACTAACATCTTCTTGACACTGGATATGGAATGGATTAAATAAAGGTTCGAATTTACGTACTCTAGGCCCCTGTTCTTCGTTCTGGTTAAGTACTCAGAACGGTAGAATAATTTGATTGTGTTTCTTCTGGATGTGGATATGGTATGGTATTTATTGTGATCGATAGATGGATTTGTATATTGCTGCTTAACTTGTGTATGGATTAAATAAAGGTTCGAATTTACGTACTCTAGGCCCCTGTTCTTCGTTCTGGTTAAGTACTCAGAACGGTAGAATAATCAGCAGCAAAAGAAAGGAAAACACTTTGTGATTAGAGTTGAACATGGAAGTGTGGTAGCTAATGTTCATCACTTTCAGACCATGTATAGGATTGTTGAGAAAAACTGTGTGGCTAGAGTACCTTTATTAATTCAGGAATTAGCTGTTCATGTGTGTGATAAACTAGTTTTTGGTGATCATCTGGAAGATGGTCTTCTGATTTAGAGATTATATTCTATTCAGGTTCAAGATCTATGGTGAGTTTCGAAGATGTTCGTGGAGGAAATGGATCGAATAGGTCATTGTTCCACCAGTATGAGCACGAAGACAATGGGGACGACGACTTGGATGAGTATTTCCATCAACCTGGAAAGAAGAGGCGGCTAACTGTTGACCAAGTCCAGTTTCTTGAGAAAAGCTTTGACATGGAGAACAAGCTTGAACCGGAAAGGAAAATCCTTCTCGCAAAGGACCTTGGCTTGCAGCCTAGGCAAGTTGCAATATGGTTCCAGAACCGCCGGGCAAGGTGGAAAAATAAACAGCTGGAGAAGGATTACGAGGTTTTGCAAGCCAACTACAATAGTCTCAAAGCTGATTGTGAGAGCCTTGCTGAAGAAAATGATAAACTAAAGGCTGAGGTAGACACTAATCTCTGTAATTCACTGCCTTCTTTTCCATTTGTACTATTTTCATTTTGAATTTTACATGATGAGTTTGAATTGTTTGTCAGGTTCTTGTTCTCTCAGGAAAGCTGCTCCACAAAGAGAAAGAGAGTGAAACCTCGGAACTCTCTGATACCAACAAAGTGTCTCAAGAGCCACCGCAGAATCCAACAGCCGATTCGCTCTCAGAGTGTGAAGTATCGAAAGTCTCAGCTGTGGCCTCTAAGCAGGAAGATCTCAGTTCAGGCAAGAGTGATATATTTGATTCAGATAGCCCACATTACACTGATGGGGTTCATTCTTCAATATTGGAGCCTGGAGATTCTTCATATGTTTTTGAACCTGACCAGTCAGACCTTTCCCAAGATGAAGAAGATAACTTGAGCAAAAGCCTGTTGCCTCCATACATCTTCCCATAGCTCGAAGATGTTGATTACTCTGACACGCCTGCAAATTCATGTCATTTCGGATTCCCAGTGGAAGATCATGCCCTTTGGTCCTGGTCTTACTAAGTTTTCTTTGGCAAATTCAAATCCAGGGTCATTGTCTCCTTGTTTAAAGTATATGGCATAGAAGTGAGAATAAGTCCAAGCAATGGCACCCCGATCCGGATGTGGTGGTGGGATTAGGTTTCAATGCAAACGATGGTGGTATTTGCCCCATTTGTAATTCTGTTTTTGTTGGGGTTCTTTGTGTTTAATGGACCATTTTTGTTTGGAATGTAATTAAATAAAATTCTCATGTTAAGGAAGCTTGATGGAAATCTCACGCATTGCATCTCCTTATTTAAAAAATTTATGAGGAGACAAAATTCTACCACATGCCCTTTTTTGTACATTAGTTCTACTGCTCTGTGCAGAATTTCAAAAGCTGCATTTAGCTGGAACTCTCTCTCTCTCTCTCTCTCTCTCTCGTTTGCCTTTTCTTGCACACTAGGAAACTTTACAAGTTTCAAAATGAGGGACAAGCAGATGATTGGCATGCAAACTCAAAGGGACCATTTGTAGCATTTCTGCTTCCTATTCATTGAGACATTGACTTTGAGAGCCAATTTCTCATGAATGGCATTCTGCTCCCTTGAGCTTTATATTTATGGTATTGTTTCCGCATGCAATGAGCTGCTGGATCTCACCTTACATTAATCCTAGTTGACTTCACACTTCTCTGCTACTTATAAAATCTGGTTGCACAAATTTCTTGTGAATCTGATTGAACCAAAAGCATACACAGGTGTTACTCTTTCTTCCATTCATGTTGTGGGCGGGTCAACTTCATGGTGCGTCAGCCATTTTATTTTTTATTTTCCTGTTATTTTATTCTTCTACTTTTTCTTTCCTGTATTTGGTGGAGGCCAAAATCACCTTTTGTATTGCACGCTTTCAAGTCCCAACATAGGTTGTATGAAGTTGCTAAACCATAAAGTTCATAATTCTTCCTTCTCTGTTTTCCCATATAACTATTGTTCAATCACAAGAAGAGTTTTAAGCAAAATCCCTTTGTTAAGGAGAGGTTTCGTTTTTGGTTTAGATTCATAAGAAAAATGGCTACCAAACTGGTGATATAATATTTTGCTTATCAATTCGATTAGCAAGGCTCCCATTAAAAGAAAAAAGAAGAAAATTTAGCACACAACCCCATCAAAATAATGGCCTTAAGTGATGGTGGTGTTGTTGCTTATCTTCTTAAGAAATATGATTGTTGCCAAATTGACAATGAGGTTTAGTGTGTCGTAGGAATTTCTCTTGCGTGTTTTGTTTTGGAATTTTGATCAAACTTTTCAAATGGGTGCCGTTGCTTGTTTGATAGGGTGGACTAGACTTGCAATCGAGACATAATATGGACATAATTGTCTAACTTGGAGTATGAAGGATGACTATTCATAAGAGGTTGATGACTAAAACTTGTCCCTCATAATCCCCCCATTTTCAAGGAGATTATAGGGGATAAGTTTTAGTCATCAACCTCTTATAGATAGTCCACATTCTTCCTCTAAGTTAGACAATAATGTCCATATTATGCTTTGAATGCATATGAAATGTAGGCATTTTGCTAGTATAGTCCAGTCTAGTCTAGTCCTCCCTATCAAACAAGCTCATAAATTGTGCCACAAAAAATAAGTATGTACAATATCCATAACTTATCCTTTTTGTTTGTACTTCGAAGAGAACGGTTGAAGGACCACATGGAATTCAAATCAAGCTAGAAAGTCTTAACATTTTCCTATATATTCATTAAGGAGGCACATCACTTTTTCCTTTTGTGTTTTATGAGGTATTGTGAGTATCATCAAGTCTTTCTAATCATATTTTTTCATAGATAAATGAATCTCACGTAAGTCTCATTTTTATAAGAAATGTGAGTATTGTAAAAATGTGAACCAATTCTTATTGGTAGCTGTGGTACTTGATCCTAGGTATAAGTTAGACAATTTATCTATGCATATTGCTGAATTGTCATTAAAGAGTGTGAGGAAATCCTATCAATCCGTAGGACTTAAAATCCATAGCTATGTCAAGTACAAGAAAATCGAAGGAAACCAACTTTTGATGCAATCAGGCTTACCTTATTTGTTTGGCAAATAAATGTTTAGCCAAGACTAAAAGTGGTTGCTTCCTTTCATCGTTCTCTTCTCTTTCCATTGTTTTAGGCAAAGTGAGGATGACTTTTCTCAATATTTATAATAGAAATGTAGAAAGCATTTTAATAATCATTTGCAAAACATCTCTGTCACGCGTGGTTTAACTTCTCTTTCCTACTAAAATATTAAACTCTCCAATGGAATCTAATCTACCCACTAAATTGGTATCAATTCTCCATTGGCTCCCTTATTAAAATCATATTTAGCATTATTATTTATTTAAGTGATTAATTACACACAAGTCCTTTCACCAGTCAAGAGTCAAAATTCGAAGTAAAGTTTTGAGAGCACATCAGCAAATATAAAATATTAAATATGTTGGCGTTAGAAACTTTTACCTGTCTTTCAATTGTAAAAATCAAACATAACCCGAGTTTTATGCGGTCTAATCCAATAAAAACGGGTCTTGATTTGCAAATCAAAAATCTTAGGTTCGAAACCCCCATGATATCAATTGTGTATGTGTGAGAAACTCCCTCCTCTCTGATTTAGATTGTCGCTTGTACTAAAAAATAACAATTTAAAATGCATGTTAAGTTTGAACACATAGCCTAATAACTTGGCATGCTTTCCCATTTTCCTAATAGTCCTGTTTACTTAAGACAAATCCATGGCTTAGCCAGGAGCTTTCCCATAGGCTCATTGTTTTGGAGTGTTGTCCATACTTAATGTGTGCTTGATTGAAAACCAATTAAAAATTAATAGCTTTTTAACTTTGTAGCTTCAAAGTCATTCCCACCTAATTTTATAAACGTAAATTATATATAAAATTGCATATCAATGATATCACACTCATATTTTTCTTTTTGATAGTAGTTTTATACACGCAAAAAATTGTGTACCCAACACTATTCTTATAGAAAATTATGTTCAACTCATCACCTACCCCCATATAAAGAATTAGAAGAAAAGAAAGTAGTATAATATGCTCTTACTTATATAAATGAGCTTCGAAAATGGACGTCAACAAATTTGCAAAAGAAACCAAAGTTGATTCAATTTCGTTTGCTCAAGTTTAGTTGTGAATTGAAGTTCATGTAATCGAATTAAAGGGTTTCGGTTTCCATGTTACGTCTTGAGACTTAAACCCGTAACATTTTTGAATTAGACTATAATTTGGTTTTCTTCTATTCAAACTGAAGATCATAAAATTGAATATTTGACAAGTTAACTTGTGGGACTGTAAGTCTTAACCACATCCACTCCCCATTTAAACAAAAAGTCTACTTAGGATTAGGAATAGAGAATATTTTTATTGCTTAATCCCCATGTCTTTACGGTACATAAAGTTGCCAAACATCTCATAACAAGTGTCCCTTGATCTCGAATCACGAGGGACTTTTGGAGATGTCCTACCGACCATCTAAAACCTACGTCCGTGGGGTTTCGCCGCGTGTACGGCTGCGATGGCTGGATCGCGTCTCCTTTCCTGAAGCGTCGAAAAGCATCACATCAATACAGCGTCCACCAGGCAACTCCCCTGCGGAATCTTTCCAGCTTCGACGTGGACATCATCTCACACGTGGCACAAGATCCACGGTACTAATTGAACGATGATCAAGTCCAAGCTATGTGGGGCCCAACACCTGCTGTAGTTAAAATATTTTTATTAGAGCAATGTTTTTTAAATTAAAAAGTTTAGATACAGATAAGCATACATTGGATGGTGTATCAAGTGTGGGCCCGGTGGGGCCCAGAGAGCATGGGGTACGAGGGGAGTGGACGCATCTGTCCATGTACCACGTCTCCCCTTCAATCTTATGTCACGCTGGTCCAGTAGCTTTCGGTGGGCCCATTTCGCACGTGCCTATGGGCTTGTGGCCCTTTTATACTATTTTTCTAATTTTTGGGTCCAAGGTCTTGTAATTTTCTTGTTTCCCTTCACATCCTTGCTTTTGTTTTTGTTTTTGTTTTTATTTCTCTTTCGGGTGGAGCGCTTTCTTTTTCATTTTCACAAAAGATGTGAGTGTGATTGGCTTTGGCAAATTTGTTTGCCGGACCAAAGAATTGACTTGATTAAGAGCCAGAAAGTTATGAATGCCTTTGATCCATCTTGTTCCTTTTGTTATGCATATTTCGATGATCACTTTCACTAGGTTCCTGTATCTTTTCTCGTTTATTACACAAGTTAAAATGCTAAACGTAGTTATTAGTAAGTGCTTGTAACTCATATAGTTAAGAGCGTTTTCCATTTGCTCAAAGTCATGTGTTTGAAACTTTGAATTCCCATCCGTAACATCGCTTGTATATCAAAAATACTATGTGGAAGTTCACCTTTTATCATATTAGTAGTTTATCTTCATCTCTTTAGTTCAATTTTAAAGATATGTTATTTGCACTTCAAAACGAGTCTCTTACAATATTTATATGTGTGAGTGCATTGTGGAGTGTGAGAATCTTATTTTAGAATGCAAATAGCATTTCTCTTATCTTAATGTCATATTGCACTAACCTTATATGAATAATTTTAATGAACACACCAATTTTGAACCTATGTTATGTATGAGGATTCTTTGGAAGCTGTTAGGCCTTGTATATTAGATGATAGCTTTCATGGTTTGGGCTGTTAGCCTCCATTTTCACCCCCAAAAGTACTCATTGAATATGGTTGTGTGCAAGAGAAAACTGATGAAGTTATAATCTTTGATCTTTTCGACCAGAAAAAAAGAAAGAAAAAAGAAGAAGTTATAATCTTTGATCAAAATCACATGGAGACAAATAGATATTTTATCACATCAATTTAAGAACCTGGAACCATCACTGCAATTGGGATTAGGACCACAATCGAAAAGTCCATGGGAGAACAATTTTAGATCACATTTTCTTACAACGAACCTAAACCGAATTCGTGTGCAACAAAGCTCCTTCACACTAATTTTCAAGTGTCTCAACCGAAGATTCAAGCTTTCCATTTTGCATATTTTTAGTGTTGGAGCATTTCCTGCGACTTGATGAACTCAGATGGATTTATGTATATGTCCAAGTATGTACTGAGAGCAAAGCATGTGTTTGTTTCCAGATATGATCAAAATTTGAAGTTTTCCTTCAAGTATAACACCATCTCTTGCTGCAAAATTTGAGACAAAGAGTGAGAGAACAAATATATATCTGTCACCTAAGCTAGAAAACTGTGACATGATTTTGGTACTTGGTCGTAATTGGTATAAGAACTTACAATCAAGCAGAGAAGAAGGCATCCGGCGGCACCCGGGAACAAAGCATACCAAAAATTCAAGTGATGAAGCTTAGCTCCATCAATGAACAGTATTGGTAAGCTTGCAGCTGCCAATAGAACACATGATAAGTTGCCTTACTTAATAACAGAGAAAAAAAAAAGGAGAGAATGAGCAATGAGACGTTATGCAGAAAATCTATTAGTTTTTACCAGGGGGATGTGGGGAGCGTGTGTAAGTCATGAAAGCAATGGATGCAGCTAGGGCAAAACTCCTAGCAAGCCATCCTGGCCCTAGTATGGAAAATGCCAGCACCCCAATTGCTGCACAGCCAATTTGTGCCATGAACATATTGTACTTCTGCAGAACCACAATTGAAAAAAAAAAAAGTCTGAGAAAAAAAAAGTTATTGAATAGTAAACCCAATTGAAAGTTAGGTTCAAAATTAGGCCCAATAAGACATTTCATGAAGGCTGGACTTTACTAGGTCTCATTAATTTTTCATCATTTTAGGTCCATATTAACAGTTGTCTATTTGTACACGTGTCTGTCTGTCTGTCAGATATGGCTCAAAGAAGGAACAAAGGCAACTTATGGCTTATAAAATAACAAAAAGCACTTACGGGATGGCTTAGATTCATGTAAAATATGTGAGGCGCACAGAGGGCAAGAGATTGAAGAGAAGCAGAACATACCCTAGCAGCTGGGGAGGAGGGAGTGGCAAAGAGGACAGCGCAAACAGCTCCTAAAGGTGCAATTGTCATTGAAACTCCTTTTGGTGCTAGAATCTGATCCACCCTTCCCAATATTGCCATTGCTGCAAAAGCACCTGCTTTTCAAAGAAGTCAAAAACCAAATTCTTACACTTCGAGAATTCTAAACAAAAATTAACTCTAATTACCTGCAGAAGGCCAAACAACGTCACTGAGAGAAGGAGAAGCAGAACCCTTCTCAGGATTCCAGCTCTCCCAAGGTGGAGCAGCCAAATTGTTTGAGGCTACAGTCCCATGCTTCTGAATTCTTCTTTTTATGCTCCCTGTGCTTCTAGTGCTGCCATGTTCAAAACCAAGAGACCTCTGTAACACAATTGAAGAAGAAAAGGGGTGCAAAGATGCAGAGAATGCTGGAGTTGTAGAAGCTCTGTGGGGATGAAGATGGCGATGATAGCTAGAGCTCCTCATCAGCTGCATGCCCATTTTTCTGATTTGATCTCTCTTTCTCTTCCAAATTGGTTCAGATGGATATGAAGATGATCTCTTAGAAAGAAGGAAACAGAAAGAATCGGACAGAGAGAGGTCTATCTGACCGTTGGGAGGTGACAAACCAGATTTTCAATACGGTGGTCCTTTGGTGGCCTCGAAAGGTCATGGGATGTTGGGGCATTTTACCACACAACTTGACCAGATTTTCAATACCGTGGTCCTTTGGTGGCCTCGAAAGGTCATGGGATGTTGGGGCATTTTACCACACAACTTGATATCTACAAAATTATGGATAAAATTCTATGAAGAAACACTATACTTATGTCACATGTTGCATCTGGTAATTACGCTTTTGGTCACATGAATTACATTTTTGGTCACATGTTGCACATCTCGTATTATAAAAAATAGTCTAACTTGTACTTCACGAGAAAGGGGATCTAACTCGAGTTCGAAGGGACACAAAATCAGCTTTGGTCAACTGGCCTAATTTATATATGTTGTGCTATGAAATATAGATGTTTCCAATAAACCAAGTATCGAGTTGGTAATTACTTCTATAAAAAAAAGGTATATAATTATAAATACCCAACATGGAAGATGCAAGAAATAATTAATCAAGTTTGTAAATTGAAACCCTCCAAAGCCAAAAAGACAACAACAACGACAACTTCATCAAGTCTTGTAAACACCAATAAACTAATCATATGTTTACCAAGTTGGACGACATTAACATTGAAGCAAATCAGAAAGGACAAAACATCCCATTATTTTGTTAATCTTGGGCCTGAAAACCCACTTAGATTGGGCCAATCATGAAGAGCCACCTCATGGGCGAAAAAAGCCACCATCCACGACCAAGTCATGCCCAGTCACAAACTCCGACTCACCGCAAGCAAGATACAGCACAGCATCCGCCACGTGTCCCGGTTTCAGCACAACCCCTTTCAAGCGTGCGAACTTCTCATATGCCTTCTCAACTTCCTCCACTCCCTTCCCAGCCGCGCGGCACGTCAACGGCGTCGCCAACGCATTCGGCGATACGCAGTTAACCCTAATCCCGTGCACCCCGAGCTGCACGCTTGCGGACCGGACCAATCCGAGCACCGCATGCTTCGACATGCAGTAGTCCGTCCGAATCTGCATGCCTTGGTTAGCCCCCACGCTCGCCGTGCACACGATGCTTCCTTTCACGCGCCTCTCTACCATAACACGCGCTGCATGTTTGACACACAGTGCCATGCCACGCACGTTCACGTCGAACAAACGGTCAAAGGCTGAAAAGTCAAGGTCAAGAACGGTCTGATCCGGGCTACTCAAAATCCCAGCGTTGCTAAACATGATGTCCAAGTGCCCATATTTGTTCACCGTTTGTTCCACCATGGTCTTCACTTGATCTTCATCAGACACATCACAGTGCACGTACATACATCGATGTGTGCCGATGGATTCGGCTACCTGACGGCCCAACTCATCTTGGATGTCAGCGATCTCCACCACGGCGGCACCATGATTAGCGAAGAGGCGGGCGGTGGCCTCGCCGATGCCGCTTGCTCCGCCGGTTATGATGGCTATTTTGCCTTGCAATTTGTTCTCCCTCAATGTGCTCATTTTAACGACTGAGCGTAGCCAGTAGCAGCTACCCTTCTTCCAATTGAAGTATAAATATACGGATGATATTTTGGGTTTTTGGGTCCCATTTCTTTTGTCATGATCATGCAAGTTGCAAACCACAAGTCCACAGCCTTTTGTTTCTTTAATGGGATACAAAATCACTAAGTAAGTTTTTAAAAGCATGTAATTACATGCAAATTAGGCATGATTTCAGTGCTTTTGTGTCCTTGTGATGAATTTGAATTTCCAACACTTACCAACAACCAGTTCACTTCACCCCGTAACTACAACTTGCAAAAGAATTTAAATAAAATATAAATGCTCTAGTATTTATTTATTTTAAGGTCTTTGATTCAACTTATTATTCTGGTCAACTTTTGACTTTTTTAAAAAATGGAATTATTTAGACTGGGGTCCATTGGGAGTTGGGTCCCATCCCATTTCTTGTGTAATTCAAACCAAAAATATCTAACTTCCTGTTTTTCAATGGCAACCAACAAAATCATATAGTAAAAACTTCCAAGAGCTTGTTTGAATCAATCAACTGAACAGAGAAACTAATACTATGAAGACAACTTCATCATAATTCTTTTTTTTTTTTTTTCTGAGATGAGATAATTTGATGATAATTATTGAGTGATGAAGTTATTGCTGAGATGAGATACTATCATACAACACTTATTATGTATCTCTATCTCTAGGTCTTAAACCCACCATCCACCACCAAATTATGGCCAGTCACAAATTCAGCCTCGTCCGAAGCCAAGAAAACCACGCTGTCCGCCACGCTCTCCACCGACATCAGCTTCCCCGCCACCGGCACTTTCAACCCCATTTGCGACTCCAACATCTTCCCCAACTCCTCCGCCTCCACCTTAAATAGCTCGCACAGCAGCGGCGTCGCCACTGGTCCCGGGGACACGCTGTTGACGCGTACCCCGTATGCTCCAAGCTGCACGCTCGCCGACCTCACCAGCCCCAACACCGCGTGTTTCGACATGGTGTAGTCCGTGAATATCGAACCCCCCATGCTCGCTGAAATGCTCGCCGTGCACACGATGCTCCCCCTCACGCGCCCCTCCACCATCGCCCTGGCCGCGTGCTTCACACACGCCACCATCCCACGTACATTGACCGCCATGAGCTTGTCGTACGAGGCCAGGTCGAAGTCCAGAACAGTCTGCTGGGAGGCGCTGCCGATCCCCGCGTTGCTGAACATGATGTCAAGGCTGCCGTAGATCCTCACCGTCGATTCCACCAAGCACTTGACTTGCTCCTCGTCGGTCACGTCACAGTGGATGTACGTGGAGCGGTCGGGGCCGCCGATCGAAGCGGCGACGTTTTGGCCTTTGTCGTCCTGGACGTCGGCAATCACCACGGCTCGTGCGCCGTGCAAGGCGAATTTGCGAGCCGTGGCTTCGCCGATGCCGCTGGCGCCGCCAGTGACAATTGCCACCTTGCCTTGAAGCTTCTTGTGGGTTACTTGTGCGACGGCGTCGAGTGTGGGGTCCTCCATTTTCGTTGAGAAAGTTGTAGTTGCAGCAGATGACATGCAAAGTAAACAAAACACTAGAACAAAGCTCTCAGTGTCCAGTGACAAACACTAATAAGTAATACATAGCTTTTCTTCTTTTTTAAAGTGAAAGTTGGCAATATTAATAATATTTTGTTAATATTTTTTTTGGTGTTATTGTGAAAATGTATAGTTTACCAAATTAACTTGTGAAGATCAAGACATCCTAACCACCTTCTTGTCTTCATTCTTCACTATGTGGTCAACTAAGTATCTTCATTCTTCACTATGTGGACTAAGTAGTAAGAATAACTCTGCATCCTTTAAGTTTTGAGAAATTATAGAGTGTTACTGTATCACCGTTGACCACATTGTGATAAAGAACTCACAACTCTATACTTTCTCGTGTGCTTCTATCTTTTAGCCGAATGCATACGGTTTGTGCATGTATGTTTGTGTCGTTCTTTATTCTTAATGTTATTCTCCTCTATGATTTTCTTGTCGTTTGCCTAGCCTGCCCTGGTTTTCCTGTAGTTTGTTTTGCCTTTTCGGATTTTTCTTTTGTTCTTTTGGTGCTATGGAGGCCGAAGCTCAGATCCTTTTTGAGCTTTCTTTAATCAAAGCATCCAACAACCAAAAACAAATAAATAATTGAAAAATAAAAGAAAACCATGCAAACCAGCAGGTGAGCAAACATACTCTAGATCATTGCCAAGCTTCTAGCTCTTTGCATAGTTGGTTTTCGCTTACATGTGCATGAAAAATGAAGAGAATTAACCATGCAGAGATACATATTATATAATTTACATGCCCCTAGAGAGGGGCTAAGACAACACAATTATATAGAAAATGAATGAGCAAGGTGATCTGAATGGGACTTGTAGAAATCCTGTCTGCAGTCACTAGGCCTCTGCCTTTTGCCATTAATCAACAGTGATCGGAATGGGACTCGTAGAAATCACTCGGGCAAGGCGACATGACCTCTTGCTCTAGCAGCTGCAATACCTGGTTCATTGATGGTCGATCATCCGGGTTTGCATCTGTACACCTTGCCGCTATTTCAAGAATTGCTTCCACAGTTTCAGCATCTGCATCTCTGCATCTTTTATCAACTAAATCATGCAATCGGTTTTCTCTCAATAGGGTGTTCATCTGCAAATATGAAGATCAATATCCAGATTATTTTCGTGTTCATCTTACAAGAAATGAATGCACCTGTCTGAATATAATTGTGAATGATCTCACCCAGCCAACAACATTTAAGCCCCGTTTTACAAATGTCGGATCGGTTGGTCTTTTTCCAGTCACAAGCTCTAGCAAAAGAACTCCAAAGCTATATACATCTGACTTCTGAGTGGCTCTCCCACTTTGCAAATACTCTGCAATGAACAAAAACAAAGTCATAAACATCTCTGATAATTGCATCAAGTGGTATTTGGGCATGAGTATTCATTCAGCACTCAATAACCATAATCTGGCTTTACCACATACTTACAGCCGAAAAAGGGTTACAAAAATGCATAGCATATAATATGACAAAACACAGACCTGGAGCCAGATAGCCAAAAGTGCCAGCTACCACCGTTGTGACATGGGCATCCTCATCAACCAAAAGCTTTGCAAGACCAAAGTCAGACACTCGGGGCTCCAGGTTTTCATCTAGAAGAATGTTGCTGGATTTTATGTCACGATGTACTATCTTTGGAGAGCAATCATGGTGCAGGTATGCCATCCCTCTGGCAGAACCCAGAGCTATTCTTAAACGAGCATTCCAGTTCAAAGGTCGCTCTTCCAGCCCTTGTTCTGAAGGAGATAAAGGCATTCAAATGAGCATTCAATTCAAGTCTCGCCCAAAAAAGCACTCAGTTTTAGTACATTCTGACAGGTGGTACTTACCATGCAAGAAACCATCTAAGCTTCCCATAGCTAGATAATCATATATAAGAAGCTTTGAAGCAGGGAGCCTGCAGTAGCCTCGCAGGTTAACTAGATTTATGTGCTTAATACTGCCCAAGATCTCCAACTCCCTCTCAAAAACTTGATCACATCCTTCCCGACTTCTATCAATTCTTTTAACTGCAAATGTTCCACAATCATTCATGACCATTCGGTATACTGTGCCAAATCCTCCTGATCCTACAACATCCTCTTCATCAAGTGACTCTAGCTTTTCAATGATTTCACATGAGGGGTAAGGCATATCTCCATGGAAAGTGATGAGTTTTGTGTCTGTCGAAAGTTCAAAATTTATCAGTAACCATAAAATTTAGATTAGAAAGTGTCAAAAGTTCTCATAGCATCAAGCTTACTTGCTTCTTTAGTTACTTGTTTTTCGACCTCTGTATACTTCTTAGCCACTCTTTCCTTTTTCGATAGTAACCGAAACCAAAGGAAAGCAAGGAGAATGAAAAGTGCAAAGCCCATGGCCGACATTGCACCAATAAGCACACCTTTGATGTAATGAGAAGATCGTTTAGTAGGCACTGCAACATTCACCATGAAAGAATTAGCATAAACACATTACTACTTGCTACATATGAACTTGGTTAAAAGTGATTGACAAAATTACAGAACATCTTTACATAGAAAGTTTGTCATTCAACTATAAAAACTGATAAAAAAGGGTTCGAAAAACTTGCCTGCTGCTTCATCACTTTCAGCATGTGGTAGCACTGCAGGGAATCCCAGTGAGGTGCGGCAGGGCTTGTGCACTTGTTGGCCACAAAGATCTAGGTTGCCAATAAACCTACGCAATTCAAGGATGCCTATATCTTACTTAAAAGCACATAACTATAACCTACACGTACATCTGTAAAACACAAGCATATGCAACACAAGTTTATTGAATGACAGATGGGATGAGGGTATGAGTACTTACGACTTGTTCCCAAAAGTGCTTAGAACTCCAACATCTGGGATTTCCCCGGAGAAAAAGTTAGTGGACAAGTTCCTAAGACATATAGAAGCAATTATGTTATTTGAGACACTATCCAATTGGAGAATTGTGGCATAACTAAGACTACTAAAATACCATTGGGTAGTTAATTATAATAGGGGCTTACAGAGAGTGCAATTGTGCAAGGCGTCCAATAGATGAAGGTATAGCACCCTTTAATAAATTGCTCGATAAATCCCTACAATTTCATTTCAAAGTTCATCAAACATGAGTAAAAAGCCTTAATAAGTTAGTTAACTCTTAAGTGCTATGGTGCAAATATAATAACCAACTTCCCAATACAAGCAGTTGATAATTAAGCATGCAACAAAGACTCGGTAAACCTAAAAGGATAAGACAAAGACGAAAGTCTTACAGTATTGTGAGATGAGAAAGGTTTCCAATAGCTGATGGTATACCTCCTTGGAGATAATTAGCCCTCAAGTACCTAACAGGTAGAAGAAAAGGGGAATGCAATGCTCAATTCTAGTGATATATAATATAAATAGATGGGAACTCAAAGGAGATATGGAAAAGAGAAGGAAACGTTTCCACTTACAGAGCCCTAAGCTCAGGACAATTGGTAATTTCATTAGGAATGGATCCATGTAAGCTGTTCTGGTGAAGTGCCCTGGCTCACATTGAAAAAGAATAATAGAAGAAAATCAAAATGGGAGAACATCTCAGCTGGTTTATCAGAAATTGGGGCTATGTAAAAGGTGGTAATCCAGTATTTGAACTCACAGTCTCTGTAATCTACTGAGTTTGCCAATGCTGGGAGATATAGTCCCTCCTAGTTGCATGTAAGGTAGGTTTCTGCAAAACCCAATACAAAATATATGAAAGCAGTTTCAAGTACAAGTAGATTAAATAATTTTTTTATAACAAAAACTGTTGAACTGAAATATGGGTTTGCCGTACATAGAGCTGACTCTCAAGTCCTGAGGATGGCAAGAAATACCAGTCCATTTACATGGTGAATCATCAGAAGGCTGCCAGTCACTGAGCATGTTCTTACTGTCATTCAAAGTGCTTTTGATTTCCAGCAATGTGAAGCCTGGAGCAAAAATATTAAAAAAAAACAAGATTAATACATAGACCCCAAATAAGATACTTGAGAAAATGCAGAAGAAGGAATGTAAACCCAATAAAGATTTGATTTTTATATGTTTTCCACTAATGACCAAAGAAAATCAGAATCCCCAGCTCAACAAAATGTAACTAATTGACTACTAAAACAAATTGCCATCATGAACAAAGAAAAGATGAAAACTTTAACCCAATGCCTCCACTCCACAGCAACAAACAGTTCAGAAAATCCAAAAAAAAAGAGACCTTGGAACAGAGAAGCCCAAAAAAGAAGTAGAAGGTTTGCTTACCATCTTGGCTGAGAGCAAGAGAGCAATGGGAGTAGATGATTGCCACTGAAATCACTGAAAAAACCCAAACCAAAATACCCTTCTTCATTTTCTTTGAAATGGGCTATTCCTGAGCTCAGCCACTTCACTGCAAAGTGAGTGCACTCAAATGTTCAACCTTTGAGAGAGAGAAGAGAGAGAAGAGAGAGAGAGAGAGTAGTGGAAGTGCAAAACTATGATGGCAACAGTGGGTAGAGTGAGTTGCAAGCTGTGGTGAAAGTGGGTACCTCCATCATGAGTAAACTAATAATATTTTGAAGCACGAAGAGAGAGAGAGAGAGAGAGAGAGAGAGAGAGATTGCTTTTTCCTATAAATTATGAGCAGAGCGAAAGACAGGCTTTTGAAAATGAGTATAGAAAATTGTGCGGAAACAAGTGGCCGGTCAACAATTTCAAAATTTTGACTCGTACGTTTACCGCCTGGTTTACAAATTGGCAACAACTCGCTACAAATGGTAGACACGTTTCCACGGTGATCTTCCACACCAATAGAATGCATCTTCACTTCATTTTTTAGAAAGAACAAAAAGTTTATGAAACTTTTATTTGGTTCTTCCGACTCTCTCTAAAATGTGTAAATTTGCAGCTTGAAATTTGTCAACTTTAGCATTAGTATAGATTATTTTCATTCATTCATGTGAAAAAACTACAATTAAGAATAAATTGGCATGTTTTAAAAGATTAAGCGAACTCATAACCAAATTGAAAGTAGAGGACACAAATTGACTTTCACTGTTAAATAATTGAGGCTTCACTTGAGTAAATGAGTTGCTGCAATTTAGAATATGTGGTCACTCGGCTCAGTGTCACAGGTCAATGAAACGAGAAAGACTTTCATAAAACAGAGATACTCAACATTGATGTTAGCAAGTCTCTTTGGTGTTCAAAATTGCATCAATAAAAGAGATTAAAAGATAAATAATGAAGGAGTTAAGAATTCAACTTCATCAAAATACCATTTATGGCTACCCAAATACATACATGTGAGTCTGTGACACGATTCATAGCTTAAAGTAAAAGGGGTTTCATTTTTTTTTCCCTTTATTTTTGGGTTTGCTTTTTCTCATGGGAAAGGAGGGACGACAAGGTAGCATTATGAGAAAAAAAGAACTCCTAAAGTTTGTTGAAGGTGATATCAACCCTATCAATGGGTGTTGGATGTGGAAGATAAACCATCTCTACATCTGGGTTGACTAGTTCCCACCTGAAAAATTCAATTTCAATAAAATTCATCATAATTATTGTCTCCAAATTTTAAACCATATACATTATTGAAAAATAAAGTTTCTTTACTTGTATCCTGTGCACAAATGATGTAACAAGATTGCAAGTTGTATCCTAACAAGCATGTTGCCTGCACAGATTCTTGGTCCACCACCAAAAATTGGTATGTTCCAGGCCTAGCTGGTTCCTGAGGGATTGAATTAATAAGTAAATTATCTCTAATTAATGCTAAAATATGAATATGGGTTTTAATATTTTAGGTTCTTTTATTTTTCTCCATAATGAGATATATAAGAGTTTACATGAGTGCTTTACAAGGAATTAGATCCCAGTAAAGAATTAGGAAAGTATCTCCTAATTATACAATGATTTGACAATTATATAAAATAGGAAAGTAAATCCCTTAATTAATCAAGGAAATAAATCTATAAAATAGGAAAGTAAATCCCTTAATTAATCAAGGAAATAATCTCCTTAATTAATTAGGAGACTCACTTCAACAATTAATACATTATGGCATCCAAGAATGAGAGGCTTACATTCCATCTTTCTGGGTTGAAACACATAGGATCATCAAAGTTCTTTGGATTTGTGTGGATATATCGAAGACAAAGAATCACTCTCCAACCCTTAGGTATTATATAACCTGTAAAGTATCCTAAAGGTTGTCCCTCAATAAAATTAAGGGATCCCTCAAATAAATTTATTGAGGGACAACCTTTAGGGTATCTTATGAATTTTTTTCTTCAACGATCCAAACCATCTATTTTTTAGGTTTTCATTCATAGATCATCTTTGCAAAAAATTAGACAAATCGGAAACCGTTTAGACATCTAATTGTGTCATACAAAATCAATGAACACAGTACTGCTTCAAGAAAGTACGAAAATTTCAATAATTTAATTGAGTGATCAAATGATATATGATTATAATGATTTTTTTTTTATAGAGATGATCTTTAAATGAATATCTACAAAATAAATGGTTTAGATTAGTAAAATAAAATATGGAGTACGCCCTGTAAGGGTGTCCCTCAAATAACTTATTTGAGGAATCCCTCGGTAGAAGCTCTATGTATATATACATATATAATACCTTTATACTCAGCTTCCTGGACAACTGATCGGAAATTAAAAGCTGAAATGTTGGCCATTCTTATTGTTTCTTCCACCACCTGTATGTATTCAGATTAAGTACCTTCGAACAATTTATATTGCTATCTATCTAGAAAATGCATACCTTGTTTGTGTATTTCATTTTTAAAACATCGTCACTTGTAATAAACTCTCCTTTCTTGTTCCGACGTATAGCCATATTCTCCTCCTGTAAAAACCACATGAGAATCTCAAGATCACGAGATTAATTTCTTAATTAAGAATATGGGATGGTGTGATACCCGAAGCTTTTTCAGGACATTAGGGTACTTGGCTAGATAATATATAGCCCACATTGATGCAAGGGAAGTAGATAATATATAGCTCACAATGTTGTCCAGCACCTCTTGGTCACATAATTTGTTACCCTCATCATCTATAATCTGCATAAGCCCATCCATTAGGTCATTTGTCACCACTTCTTTCTGGGTTTTTTTCTTCTCAAGCTCCACCATGAAAATATCCTCAAGCTTCTTCTCAAGCTTCTTTCTACCCCAATATTAGTAAAGTTTTATGGTGAATTGTATGTTAAGACTACAAACCTGACGAGCATGGTGAAAGGCAGATCCAGGAATGTTGAATGGTTGAGCTCTAATTCCTTTGACCAATCCATCAAACAAGTTGTCAATGGTATCAAGGAGAGTTCCTGGTTCCAAACTTTCGAATAATTGTCCAATATAGCCACCAAGGAAGTATAACCCATGAGATCAACACTAGGCCAATTTTGGATGAAGGTATCGTCGGATTGAAAGACAAATTTGTTGACTACTGGGAAGCATGCTATGATGGACGGTGATCCGAAGAGGTAGGTTCTATACATTCCTACTCCATCTCCATACCTAATAATATTTTACCAAAATAGGTCAAATGCTCATTGATTATTGACCCATTTGATAACAAATGAGCAATAATATTCTATATGTCATATTTATGGGACAATAGATAATTCTTTTGAAAAACTATAACATTACAATTTCCAAACTTATTAATAGAAGAATATGCACCCTCCAAGTCCAAACAAAAAAATCAATACAAGTAAACTTAGAAGAATGCAGAGAAATAAACCATACTTTGCTCGTTTAGCATTGATAAAGTCATCTGGGCGACGAAGAATTTTGAAGTACCAAAGGAAAGTGAGGACTGAGTGGTAATTTGGTAATAGTGTCCGAACGTCGTAATTTGAGAGGAAGCTCATTCCACCACCACAAGAGCAACCCCAACAAAGGCAAACCTCCCAAAACCAAGGCCACCCACACCCCAAAGAGATATCCAAAGCCCCCTTCTTGGCTTTTGTTGTCCTAGCGTACCAACTAATTAGCGTACCAACTAACGAGTTGATTATTCGTGTGATTAGGTAAGCAAATAAGCAATAAGCAATACCAACCAACCCCCAATGGAATCTACAAACCCTGCTTTGGTCACGCACTTGAAATGGCATGAAAAATACTCTCCCCTCTTCTGTCCAATCAGATTACTTTGTACATGTCAAATGCTTCATATGAGCGTGGGGTGGCCTCATGCGAGAAAGTTGGATGTTGCCCCAACCTTCGCTTAAGAAATTAATAATCATGTCTTTAATATCTGATTATCATGATTAGTAGTTTGATACCTTGTTAAAGAAAACCTGGAGGTCTAATTTTTATTATTTGTTTTTGTCTCTATGAATATTGATGGATGCAAAGTTAAACAACCAACATATGACATGTCAATCAAGTCTGTTTAATATTAGTTTATGAGATTCATCAAAAATCCTTAAACCAACCAACGGATCATGTGTAAATTAACCAACTTGTAACACAAATTTAAAGAGTTATTATTTGTGTTAAGCTCAACGAAAAGGAATTTTGTGAAAATAATTTGAAACCTCATTGGGTGTTTGTATAATTTCCATAACCTCAAAACCGAACCATTACGAATTGTTTTGTTTTTGTTTTCTAAGAATGATGTTTATAACTTTAATTAAATTTGTGTAGTCGTCCGATGTTTGGTTTGAATTAATCTCAGATGCTTCTCAAAAGTCAATTGGTCTTGCAGCTCTTGCTGATGGGTTAAGAAATCTTGGGCTTTTAGTCGAGATTCATTGTGGTTTAATTTTATATTTTTCCTTGGGCTTTTTGTTTTGTTCTTTTCTCTAATCACTTATTTTCCATTGCATAATGTAAAACAGAGATAATTCTAGACGAAACAACATTGGTGCACAAGACAAGAGGTTCTTTAGAAGTAAACTGCAATCCAAGTCAATCTAAGGTCGAGAGTTGAGACCATTAATAAAATAAACAAAAAATAAAACACTTAAAATAAAATACATACGTTACAAGATTCACTGCCAAAAGAAACTAAAAAGGGTTTCTATAGTTGTTTGGCTTTTTGGGTGTTCAAACTTCAAAGCAGGCCTACGACTATGGATCTATGAGAAAATGGATTTGCTATAATTTGCTGAACGCGATCTCAACCTTATCAACTGGTGATGGATGTGAAAGATAAATCATCTCAGCATCCGGATTGAGCAATTTCCACCTGAAAATTTCACTCACAATATTAATTAAATTTCAGGAAATATATAAATATATTGTGTACAAATATATAACAAAGCTATAATTTTTGAGTTTTCTTACTTGTATCCGATAGACAAATGATGTAAGAAGGTTGCAAGTTGTATCCTAACAAGCATGTTTCCTGCACAAATTCTTGACCCACCACCAAAAACTTGGTACGTTCCAGGCTTTGATGGTTCCTGATGATGGAGTGAAAGGATATTCATTAAGTTAATTAACAGTTACGCCAGCGAGGTATAGCTCAGTTGGTTGAGCTATTCCACCTCCGCTCATGTGGGCAAAAGTTCGAAACCCCCAATCGCTTGTACTTAAAAAAACAATTATCTTTAATTAATTATTTGTGTCATAAATGATGAAGAACTTGCTTACATTCCATCTATCTGGGTTAAAGCACATGGGATCATCAAAATTCTCCGGATTTGTATGGAGATAACGAATCCAAACAATTACTCTCCAATCCTTAGGTATTCTATAACCTGCATGGATTACGTACAATTTGGTTAATTACAAACAAGACTTCTTTTGTTTTTGTTTATGTGTGAGACGATGCTTAATTTTTTTTTTTGGTCGAAATGTGTGAGACAATGTTAATTATAAAGAAAGTAGGCAATTATAAACATAATGTAATTGTACCTTTATACTCGGCTTCTTTAGTAGTCAAACGGAAAACAAATGCTGCAATGTTGGCCAATCTTATTGTTTCTTCCACCACCTGTAAATTTTGTGGCTGGAGATGAATTACTTACTTGTAACAATAATATTTCCAGCTATTCATATATGCATAGATATGGGACCTTGTTTGTGTATTTCATTTTCGAAACATCGTCACTTGTAATGAACTCCCCAGTCTTGTTCTTACTTACAACCATATTCTCTTCCTGTAGTTGCACATGAGAACATCATCAAATCAAATGAAACAATTAATGAAGGGCCGTTTGATTCAATTTTAGTTTTTAGTTTTTATTTTTCGTGCTAAAGTATAGAGGAAAAAGAGAGAGAATGAAAGTGAGAATGAGAGTGAAGATAGAATTGAGAGGGAAGATGAGAGAGTAACAAAAGTGAAAACAAAAACTAAAATCCATTTGAAATTGCTTTCACTTTCAAGTTTTTTATTTCCCTTTTGTTACTTTTCCCTCCCACCCTTTCCTCTCATTCTCTGTCTCAATCTCAGCCTCACTCCCATTCTCACTCTCACTTTCCTCTATACTCTACCATAAAAAAAAAAGAAAACTAAAAACTAAAATTGAAATGGTTATCAAACGGGCCCGAAGATAATTAATTTATTTTTGCATGTTCTTGTATATGTTAGTAGTAGAATATATGTACCCGAAGCTTTTGGAGGACATTAGGGTATTTGGCGAGATAATATAAAGCCCACATTTTTGAGAGGGAAGTGGATGAATATCCAGCAATAACAATGCTGACAATGTTATCTAACACCTCTTGGTCATTTAATCTATTGCCTTCATCGTCCTTAATTTGCATAAGCCCATCCATTAGATCATTTGTCACTCCTTCCTTTTGGGTTTTTTTCTTCTCTAGCTCCACCCTGAAAATGTCTTCAAGCTTCTTCCTACACTGCAAAGTACATATTCAATACTTTTTAATTACTTAGTGGAATTATATTTAACCAAAAAAAAAGAGAAAAAGAGAGAGACACACTTTGAGAGATTCAAACCTGACGGGCATGGTGATAAGCAGATCCAGGAATGTTCAATGGATGAGCTCTGATTCCTTTGACCAATCCATCAAACAAGTTGTCAATGGTATCTAGGAGAGGCCCTGGCTCCAAACTCACGAATAGGTTTCCAATATTTTCAAATGTTACCTGTCATTATAAATGACACCTCATCAATTTAATAACTTATAGTTAACTCGTTTAATTTATGTGGATTATGCCAGTTAATCAAGGTAGTGTTCCCGCCACATAGTTAGGGTATGTAGTTTAGAATATCGATATAATTTGATCAATTTTTCTTCTTCTCTTAATTATCAGAGTTTTCTTACTTGTATCCGATAGACAAATGATGTAAGAAGGTTGCAAGTTGTATCCTAACAAGCATGTTTCCTGCACAAATTCTTGACCCACCACCAAAAACTTGGTACGTTCCAGGCTTTGATGGTTCCTGATGATGGAGTGAAAGGATATTCATTAAGTTAATTAACAGTTACGCCAGCGAGGTATAGCTCAGTTGGTTGAGCTATTCCACCTCCGCTCATGTGGGCAAAAGTTCGAAACCCCCAATCGCTTGTACTTAAAAAAACAATTATCTTTAATTAATTATTTGTGTCATAAATGATGAAGAACTTGCTTACATTCCATCTATCTGGGTTAAAGCACATGGGATCATCAAAATTCTCCGGATTTGTATGGAGATAACGAATCCAAACAATTACTCTCCAATCCTTAGGTATTCTATAACCTGCATGGATTACGTACAATTTGGTTAATTACAAACAAGACTTCTTTTGTTTTTGTTTATGTGTGAGACGATGCTTAATTTTTTTTTTTGGTCGAAATGTGTGAGACAATGTTAATTATAAAGAAAGTAGGCAATTATAAACATAATGTAATTGTACCTTTATACTCGGCTTCTTTAGTAGTCAAACGGAAAACAAATGCTGCAATGTTGGCCAATCTTATTGTTTCTTCCACCACCTGTAAATTTTGTGGCTGGAGATGAATTACTTACTTGTAACAATAATATTTCCAGCTATTCATATATGCATAGATATGGGACCTTGTTTGTGTATTTCATTTTCGAAACATCGTCACTTGTAATGAACTCCCCAGTCTTGTTCTTACTTACAACCATATTCTCTTCCTGTAGTTGCACATGAGAACATCATCAAATCAAATGAAACAATTAATGAAGGGCCGTTTGATTCAATTTTAGTTTTTAGTTTTTATTTTTCGTGCTAAAGTATAGAGGAAAAAGAGAGAGAATGAAAGTGAGAATGAGAGTGAAGATAGAATTGAGAGGGAAGATGAGAGAGTAACAAAAGTGAAAACAAAAACTAAAATCCATTTGAAATTGCTTTCACTTTCAAGTTTTTTATTTCCCTTTTGTTACTTTTCCCTCCCACCCTTTCCTCTCATTCTCTGTCTCAATCTCAGCCTCACTCCCATTCTCACTCTCACTTTCCTCTATACTCTACCATAAAAAAAAAAGAAAACTAAAAACTAAAATTGAAATGGTTATCAAACGGGCCCGAAGATAATTAATTTATTTTTGCATGTTCTTGTATATGTTAGTAGTAGAATATATGTACCCGAAGCTTTTGGAGGACATTAGGGTATTTGGCGAGATAATATAAAGCCCACATTTTTGAGAGGGAAGTGGATGAATATCCAGCAATAACAATGCTGACAATGTTATCTAACACCTCTTGGTCATTTAATCTATTGCCTTCATCGTCCTTAATTTGCATAAGCCCATCCATTAGATCATTTGTCACTCCTTCCTTTTGGGTTTTTTTCTTCTCTAGCTCCACCCTGAAAATGTCTTCAAGCTTCTTCCTACACTGCAAAGTACATATTCAATACTTTTTAATTACTTAGTGGAATTATATTTAACCAAAAAAAAAGAGAAAAAGAGAGAGACACACTTTGAGAGATTCAAACCTGACGGGCATGGTGATAAGCAGATCCAGGAATGTTCAATGGATGAGCTCTGATTCCTTTGACCAATCCATCAAACAAGTTGTCAATGGTATCTAGGAGAGGCCCTGGCTCCAAACTCACGAATAGGTTTCCAATATTTTCAAATGTTACCTGTCATTATAAATGACACCTCATCAATTTAATAACTTATAGTTAACTCGTTTAATTTATGTGGATTATGCCAGTTAATCAAGGTAGTGTTCCCGCCACATAGTTAGGGTATGTAGTTTAGAATATCGATATAATTTGATCAATTTTTCTTCTTCTCTTAATTATCATATAATTCTGGTGTTTTGATAGTTTACCTTTTTAGCTTCATCATATGCTTTGAATCGACCCTTGTGAGCCCATGACTCAAGTGCAGCCACCATGCGAGGCTGGACTCGTTGAGCTATACGACGTAGAGGGTCGGGTCGGTTAATTACATTTTCGACAAAACGTCTAAGTCGAGTATGGGACTTTCCATGAACTGACACTATAGAACTAGAACCTACAATGTCCACATTAGGCCAGTCTGGGATGAATGTCTCATCTGATTGGAACACAAACTTGTTGACTCCTGGGAAACATGTTATGATAGTCGGTGATCCAAAGAGGTGTGTTCTATACATGCCCACTCCATCGCCGTACCTGATCCAATCTTAATTTGTCAATAATAATCAATATTCAAATACTACGTATCATGCAACTAGTTTTTGTACGTACATATAGAGGAAAAATTGAATGGAAATAAATCGTACTTTGCTCGCTTAGCATTGATGAAATCATCTGGACGACGAAGAATTTTGAAATACCAAAGGAATGTGAGTATTTCGCCTAAGAATGGAAGTCCCATGTGACCTGGTGGCAATTTAGCGCCGGTAGGCGAATGTCGGAGTTTTAGAGGAAGCGCGTACCAAAGGTCATTCCACCACCACAAGAGCAACCCCAAGAGTGGCAAACCTCCCCAAACCAAGGCCACCAACTCCCCATTAGAAATATCCATGTGTCCCTACAAATATGCTAAGCAAAGTCTCTTCGGGATATAAAGTTTTGGTAGATCCCAAGTTGATTATTCGTCTTACCAGGAATGAGCAAGTAGACAAGGAGACCAACCCCACTGGAAACCTACAAATTCCTTGCGTCGGTCACGCCCTTTAATTATTATTTGTAGGTGTCACCTGTAGCTATAATTGATTTTGTGTCGTATTAAATTGGAGGTATTATAAACTTGGTCAATTTTGTTTGAGTTTTTAAATACAAAACAGAATATTATGCTCGCATGGTATCATCTATGCTTAGCATATAATCAAATCAATGGCCTCGTCGTTGTCCCAAGTAAAAATCCCTTTCATTGGCTAAAGGGTTATGCAGGTGAGAAATCATTCACCTCTATCTCCTTGTAAACTAGCTCTCCCGACAAAGGGTAAAGATAAAAAACTTACAAAATCTATGTAGCTCGAATTGGGAATTAGTTTTCAATTGAGTACATGGCATGTGTAAATCACATACATGCATGAGACGAGATCAATCAATCCGATTAAACACCGTTATGTACTAGGAAGATCACATTTATGTACCACATCTTTAATGTAGGACAAACGTATCATATAATGAATTCCGCCTGTATTAAAGAAAGAGTGCATAAATGTATTGTCTCCCTAACATTACCCAATAATACTTGACCTTTTTAGCTTCATCATATGCTTCGACTCTCTACCCTTATGAGCCCATGACTCGAGAGTCTCTGGCCTGCTTGTTACATTTGTGACGTACGTAGCTTCTAATCCTTTTATGGAACTTTCCTTGAACAGCCACGCTATAGAATTAGAACCGATAAGCTCAATGTTGGGCCAGTTTAGCATGAAGATATTGTCTGATTGGAATACTTGACAAGCATGTTATGATGGATGGTGATCCAAAGAGGTGTTCTATTTTGCATGTGACATGTGCTTAATTACAACCAAAAATGAAAAATGAAAAATGAAACACAAAGGCATTTCTATTTTTAAATTTTGCTGATTGTGATTTCAACCCTATCAACTGGTGTTGGGTGTGAAAGATGGATGATTTCTGCATCTGGATTGACAAGTTCCCATCTCAAAATTACATTACGATAAAACTCAGTAATGCCTTATATATATTATAATTAAAATTCAAAGCTAATTTTGTTTGTGAAACTTTCGTACTTGTATCCTGTAGATAAATGATGCAGAAGATTGCAAGTTGTATTTTAACAAGCATGTTTCCACGACATATTCTTGGTCCACCACCAAGAACTTGGAAAGTTACAGGCTTAGCTGATTCCTATAAGAAATGGGGGTACACACATTAGCCATCTTTTTTTAACAGACTACACACACTGGTCTAAACAGACCAGTCTAGAATGAACAATTCCAAGCAAATCATCAACAAGATAAGCACTTAACCAACTAGGGGTATTCTCAAACACGCACAGCCCGAGATCTACTTGATAACTCCAATTAGCCAATTGGTCAGCAACACCATTCTTCTCACGAAAAACACGCTGAAGGGCACAACTGGGAAACTGCTGCATAAGGTCACAACAGCTCCTAACCAAAGCAGCCAAGGGATGCAAAGCAAGCATAGAATCTGAGTGTTGGGTCGAGAGACCACCACCGTCTCTAGTAGGTGTGTTGGTGTCTGACGGCCTGCTTTGCCCCCCAACTGTTTGATTTTTCTGTGGGAAACAGGTTTTCTGTGTCTGAGTTCCTAGTGTGTTCTCTGTGGCCCTGTTTCCACCTTGGTTTCGTTTATGGTGTTTTCTTTCCCTTTGTTTTTCCTTGCCTATGTTTTTGAGGTTTCTATGAAATTCAATTGACCAAAAAAAAAATCTTCAATTAAGTTCTAACTGTCTCGTGCAAGAACGTAGTCTTACACTCCATCTATCTAGGTTAAAGCACACGGGATCATCAGAGTTCTCAGGATTTGTATGGAGATATCGAATCCTAAGAATCACTCTGGTGATTTTTCAGGAAAATTAAGATGATTTTTTACAGTATAGCCGGTCGGCTATACTCTAAAATATAAATAGAATATTTTAACGGTATAGCCGATCGGTTATACTGCTTAAATAGAATATTTTAGAGTTATAGCCGCGCGGCTATACTATATGAATAGAATATTTTACACGTATAGCCGCGTGGCTATACTCTTTAAATAGACTATTGTAAAGGTATAGCCGGCCGGCTCTACTATATAAATAGTATATTTTCAACGTATAGCCGGTCGGCTATACGTTTTAAATAAAATTTTTGTGAACGTGTAGCCGCGCGGCTATACTCTTAAAATAGAATATTTTAAAAGTTTGCTGGTGCAGCTGAAAGCACTTCTTTCTTCATCCAGCTCCGTGTACAAAGCCATCAGCGACTTCCTATCCAACCGGACCTGTCTCTTCAACCGGTGCAAAATGGAATCACAATCGGGATCATTTGGAGTGCTCCCGTCGGCAGATTCTAACACGAAGTCGCTACTTTTTTCCAGTATAGCGACCCTGGGACTATTTGTAGCTGAATCTGTAAGCGAACTCAGAAAATAAGTTTTCATTGATGTAGAAAGCCAGAGCCAGTACATCAAAGTGAACTCAAAGAAATGCAACACAAAAGGCATAAAGTCCACTATAACAACCATAAAACTCATTACATGCATAAATCCTACTAAAGACATAAATTGATGCCTTGTTGATCTGATCAGTTGCACTGTTGTAATTTTCTGATGTGTTTATTTCGTCACAGCTCGAATCGAGATCATTATGTATTTATTTTCATGGCAGTCGAATCGAGATCACATACCTGGTAAGTCCCAGGCATAATTGATTCCAGACAAATTGGAAGCACACACATGGTGATCTTTAATTAGATATCGAATCCTAAGAATCACAGTGGTGATGTTTCAGGAAAATTAAGAAGATTTTTTTCAGTACAGCCGGCCCGGCTATATTGTTTAAATAGAATATTTTAAGCGTATAGCCGCGCGGCTATACACTTTACAGAATATTGTAAAGGTATAGCCGCGCGGCTATACATTATAAATAAAATTTTGTAAAAGTATAGCCGCCCGGCTATACGGTTTAAATAGAATATTTTAAGAGTTTGCTGGTACAAGCTGAAGCACTTCTTTCTTCATCCAGCTCCACGTACAAAGTCATCAGCGACTTCCTATCCAACCGGACCTGTCTCTTCAACCGGTGCAAAATGGAATCACAATCGGCATCATTTGGAGTGCTCCTGTGGGCAGATTCTAACACAAAGTCGCTACATTTTTCCAGTGGTGATTTCCTTGAAATCCTCATAGCCACCCTGGGAGTATTTGTAGCTGAATCTGTAAGTGGTGATTTCCTTTGCCAAAAACAGGTGTTCTGTTTGCATCATCAGTTAAATCATCACCTTCTGGCAATAATGGCACTGCAGAAGCTTTGGGATCTTCCTTGACTGCTTCACAAATTCCATCCTCCAAATCAGTTAATGGTTTCCGAAAAAGAAAAACTCATATCGAATTTTAACAGATAATGCGGGCATTTCAATAAATAAGCCTTTAAAAATAATTAATTAATTAATTGCTTTCCCACCCGTTGAGAATCATTGGTGCATGCCACGTTATTTTATTTTATTTATTATTTTATGCTGGGTTCCTTTATTTATGAAAGATTTTGTTTATTTTATTTTAATTTTTATATAATATTTAAACACTTTAATACGGTGTTTATATTTAATTTGGATTAAAAAAAATTAATAGTTAAAAGTACTAAAATGTACATGCCACATTAGCGATTTAACAGTTTTACTGAAGAAATAAACGAAATGAGATAACATGAAACACAAAATGTAAGTATAGTGGGAAAATTGAGTGAGTTGAAAGTTTAGAATAAGCAAACCACGTGGGCATATCAGTAAATAAGCCTAAAAACAATTGGATCGGTGAAGTTATGCAGGCAACAGCATGGGTCTATCTTACGTCAGGCCCAACCCAACAGCACACAGTTGTGCGTTGACTACAAACAGTTAAGATTCTGAGAAACCTAAGGCTTAGGAGAAGCAGAAATTGTGCATATGCACGTTTCTGTAGTTTGTTAGCATATATGATATATGTGTTGTGTGTGCTGTGTGGGCGTGAGTTCCTGAGAAAATAATGTGTACGTAAAATTAGGATCCAAGTCAATGGCCATAACTCATAAGTCTTCACACACCCATAACAACCTGCTCCACATTTTGGTAATCAATCATCCATTTCACCATAACTATCCGTTAAGACTTCAAAGACTCAAATTGCAAATTTTGACTTAAAATCCAACCATTTTCTGAGCTGAAATCTTGGGCTAGTCCGAGTAAGCAGGCAGAACTACCGAGTCATAGCCAGTTTAGAAAACTTATCTCTTAAAGAGAGAAGCAAAAACATGCTAATATGGTTTAAGATAAAGTGGTGAGCAAGAGAGAGAGAGAGAGAGAGAGAGAGAGAGAGAGAGAGAGAGATGGAGAATGTGAATGATTCTTCTTCAATAGGGCAAGACCCTCCTCTAAACCCACCTTCTTCTAATGCAAGAAAACCAGGAGGATGGAGAGCTATCAAATACATTCTTGGTACACAACATTTTGCAATTAATGCGAAATTTTACAATCATGTTACTCAACTTTTTTTATGTGACTGATGATGGAATTTTTTTTTTTTCAACTTGATTTGAAGCAAACGAGTCGTTCGAGAAGCTGGCTTCAATGAGTTTGATAGCCAATATCACAGTGTACCTGACCACAAGATACAACTTGAGTGGTATATTTGTGGTAAATGTGGTTAATATTTGGAATGGTTCATCCAATGTTGCATCATTAGCAGGAGCTTTTGTTTCTGATGCTTATCTGGGCAGGTTTCGTACCCTCCTTTTGGGCTCCATATCATCTATCCTGGTAATTAACATTCATCTCTCTCTCTCTCTCTCTCTCTTTTCTAATGACATGTTCTAACTCTGGATTAATCTATTTGACAGCATCCATT